CTGATTAGAGAATTAAAAAATTGAAGAGAAGAAAGTAAGAATTTACATCATAAATTTGCCCTCTGGACCAGAAAAAGTAAAAAACTGCAAAAAAAAAAAAAGGCAAAAAAAGTTCTACTCTTTGAACTACAGGATACAATCAATTATAAGATGAGTCCTAATAAAATGTGAAAAATGTGCATTTAAGAATCAGTAATGTAAAATAATGTATACATTTTGTGACTATTTGATGAATATCTGCTGCACCCAGTTATGAGACCAGTTTCTATGCTTCTTTTTTTTGTTCATTATTATATCCATGGACAGCACTAATCAATTCTTAATAAATCCTTGAATGAACAAATGAATGAATGAATGAGCGGGTATGTAGCTCTAATAGTGAGTATGTAGCTCTAATAGTTTGTCTTACACTTCAAATACCTAAATGGTAAATAAGAAATGCATTTTATTTTTAAATATTTTATTTATTTATTCATGAGAGACACATAGAGAGGCAGAGACACAGGCAGAGGGAGAAGCAGGCTCCCTGTGGGGAACCAGACATGGGACTCGATCCCAGGTCTCCAGGATGAGGCCCTGGGCTGAGGGTGGCGCTAAACCACTGAGCCACCCAGGCTGCCCAAGAAATGCATTTTAAATCAGCATTAACTACTAAATAAGTGCTGGAAAGTAGCAATAACATTGTCTAACATTTATTTTGAGGTGACGCATTATCTCTTTGGAAAGAAGTCCTGGAAATGATTAAATTCTGATAAATAAGAACCACCCACCTCTGTGTGAACCAGGTGAAGCTTGGTTGGTAAAGCCTAAATGAGTAATTTGAGGTGTTTAATATAACAAGTAAATCGACAGGGAGAGCAAGCTGTTATCACATCCTACTCCTCACTGTTTTAAAAGACAACCAAATTCAGACCTATGAGAAAAGCAATCCTCTACTTTTATAGAAACCTGTAAGGGAGATGCCATTCTGTCCATGCACCATTTCTTTCTTTCTTAGAAAAAGCATTTAAAAGGCACCTGGGTGGCTCACTTGATGGAGCCACGGGTTCTTGATTTTGGCTCAGGTCATGATCTTGGAGTCCTGGGATCAAGTCTCCTCTACCCCCACTCCGTGCTCAGTGGGGAGTCTACTTAAGGAGTCTCCCTCTGCCTCTCTCCCCCACCACACTGCTCTTGCTCTCTCCCTCTGTCTCTCAAATAAATGAGTACATCCCTTTGTACACAACCTGCTTCTGTTTTGGGGTTTCACAGGTAGCAGAGCAGATTCCCTTGCTGCGATCTATTAAAAGTCATCTCTCAACACATGGGTTTGTAAAAAAAAAATAAAAATAAAAAGAAGAAAAGAAAGAAAGAAAGAAAAGAAAAAGGTAAGAAAAAAAATGAAAAAAAATCTTAAAAAAAAAAGGAAAAGGCATTTAACAGAAGAAAACAATATCTTTAACCAGGTACAGGCAGCACTTACTACGGTGTGATGATTATTAAACCAAATTCTTATATAGAAAGATGCGGTTCAAAGAATAATTCTATTCTCCAAGGGAAGCTACTTTGCCTTCTAGTGTAAGTTGATAGTCTATTCTCTCCTGTGTCCTTCTGACATCTCTGCCCCACTCCTTATTTGTTTGATCACTACCACCACCACCAAACCACCACTAAGTTCCGATACGAGTGGTCCGCAGAGCTGACTGGCCCAGACTGCAAGGGTTCAAAAGAGCACGTAACAGGGAGCAGAAGTTTCAGAATGGGATGTGGGTTACATCTGTATTTGCATAGAGCGTCCAAATAAACTAAGAATTGTGAGTCACCTAGATGAGCGACCGTGGAACCAATTATATGAACTGATGATATGAAATCCCAGGCAGCCATTGACAAAAGGAAAAATCCCCATATACTCCCCTGGAAGATATGAGTGACATAGACTTAATTTTTTTAAAAAGTTGTAGACCAACATATAATTTAAGTTTTCATTTTTTAAAGAAATATGTTTGGGGTATGAGTATATCTGCTTAGAAAACATTATAGAAGGTAATGATGGTTGAGGGAAGCATAATACTTGCCTTCAAAAAGTTTTGCTCTCCCAAAAGAAGAAGTTTTGGTCTAGAGAGGGAGATAAGACTTGTATGAAAACAGAATCAGGATACCAAGGTAGATAGCGAAAGGCATCTTAAAAGAGAATCAGATAAGGGGCCAAGAGAATTCAGAAAAGGGACTGGATTAATGCTGCCTGAGAGCATCAAGGAATGTTCATGGAGGAGAGAGAGTTTTAAGGAGCTTGAAGCTAAGTGTGAGGGTGTATAGAATAGAAACATTCTGAATTTATTTTAAGACAAATATTTGCCTCTATTTCAGTGTAGTTGAGTTACACGTCCAACAATGTGTCACTTATAGAAAATGCCCGTGCACTGTATACACAAACACTATACGATGCCTATACACCATACATATATGAATATATATGTTTGGAGAGAGATGCGTATGTTTAGTACATGTAGCAATTTAGTAATATAAGTATATTTTATTTATTTTTAAATATTTTATTTATTCATGAGAAAAAACACAGAGAGGGAGGCAGAGACACAGGCAGAGGGAGAGGCAGGCTCCCTGCAGGGAGCCCCATGTGAAACTTAATCCTAGAACCCCCGGGATCACGCCGAGCCAGAGGCAGCCGCTCAACCACTGAGCCACCCAGGTGCCTCAAGAAGTATATTTTAAATAACTACAGAACCTTAGAGGGCCTTCGAACCCCATCACAGGATGTTTAATAGCATCCCTGGCCTTCATCCACTAGTTTTCAGTAGCATACCATCAGGCGTGACAACAAAAATGTCCTAGACATTACCCAATGCCCTGAAGGGCAAGATAGCCCTTAGTTAAGAACCAATGGTATACATAGTTGACTCTGGAACAACATGGGTGTTATAGGTTCCAAACCCTGTGGAGTTGAAAATCCTCCAGTAAGCTGGAGGATTCTTCAGAAACTTGGCTACGAACAGCCTACTATTTTTTTTTTAAGATTTTATTTCTTTATTCATGAGAGACACAGAGAGAGAGGCAGAGACACAGGCAGAGGGAGAAGCAGGCTCCAACGCAGGGAGCCCAACATGGGACTCCATCCTGGGTCCCCAGAATCACGCCTGGGGCGCTAAACCGCTGAGCCACCCGGGGTTCCCCAAAGAGCCTACTCTTGATTGGAAGCCTTAACCGTACGGTAACGCCATCAGTCAATTGTGTCAATTGTGTCAATTGACACATATTATCTGTGACTTACGTATTATACACTGTATTCTTACATGAAGGTAGATAAAGGAAAATGTTAAGAAAATCACAAGAGACAACACATTTACAGTATTGTACTGTACTCGTGAGAAAATTTCCACATATAGGTGGGTGGTCCTGTGTAGTTCAAAGCCGTGTTGTTCAAGGGTCAACTGTACAAGCAAATCCTCCCCTGTGAGTGGATAAGAATTCTCAAGTTCATGATCTTGATTTTTATTTTTTGGGTCCCTTCAATGGTTCTTCGTTTAAAGTGTATTCGTTTTACTTATTTGAAGTCATCTCTACACTCAACAGCTTAGGGCTTGAATTCAGGACCCCGAGATTAAATAAGAGTCGCATGCTCTTTCAACTGAGTCAGCCAGGCACTCCTTAACCCTATTTAAGAATCAAGTAAGTTTTTTGCGCATCTGTTGAAAGCTGTTGACTCAGTCATTTATCAGGAAAATGCACATGATCACACCGTGTGGAATACAATTACAGGGAATTTACACTAGGGTTCTCCCCAGAGGAGTTCTGTTTCCTGCAGTTTAAAGAATTGTCTTGGTCTGCATTTTCCAGCTAAGCAACTGCAGGCTGTGCCCAGAAGGTCCACAGTCTCTTTTGCAGTCGCTTGGGTATTTACTTCGGAGCCCTGGCAGTCAGGATAGAGTCTTCCCGTTTACTCTCCCATCCTTCATCTTCACCATCCTTCATCTTCACCTGCGGCAGTCAGTTTTAGCGAATCCATCCCAGCAGGATCTGAACCCTGCTGCGGTAGGACAGACCCCACTCCCCCCACTGCCTGCCAGTCTCCATCCCTGTCCAGTCCCGCGATCCCTTCCTTAGTTGCCCAGATGACTGAGAAGGAAGATAGAACCAGAGAGTCAGCAGGGGTAGGAAAGGGAGGCCCTTGTGGGTTTTTTTGTTTTTGTTTTTTTTTTTTTTAAGATTTTATTTATTCATGAGAAACAGAGAGAGAGAGAGAGAGAGAGAGAGAGAGAGGCAGAGACACAGGCCGAGGGAGCAGCGGGCTCCACGCAGGGAGCCCGACGCGGGCCTCGATCCCGGGACCCGGGGTCACGCCCTGGGCCGGGGGCAGATGCTGCAGCGCTGAGCATCCCGAGCCCCCTGGTTTCGGCCGTGAGAGCAGCACACAGGCCCGCAGGAGCGCGGGCACAACCAACCCAGAGTCCAGGAGTAAACCCTCGAGTCCCCGCAGCCCCCCCCCCCCGCCGCCTCGGGACCGCGCCGCCTGGGGGAGGGGGGCCCCCGCGGTCGCTCCGGCCCGAGCCCGCCCCCGCGCCCCGACCTGGCGGCCCGCGCGGCTGGGGGAGGTGGCGCGGGCCCGAGCCCCGGCCTCCGGCTCCGGGAAGGGGAAAGCGTGCGGGAGGGGGGAAGGGCGGCTGCCTCCGCGTCCCTCTTTCCGACTCAGGTGTCTCTGTTGCTCCATAAATAAAACGTGTCCCGGCCTCGTGCGACGCTATAAAGGCGGCGGCGCGGCGGCCCGGGGGCACTCCCGGCGGGCCCGCAGCCGGAACAGGTGAGCGGCCGGGCCGCCGCCGCCCCGCCCCGCCCCGCTCCCCCGGGAGCCCCGCCAGCGGCCGGCCCCGCGCGGGGGTCGGTCGGGCAGGGCCCCGCGGCCTCGTCTGCGGGGGCGGGGGCGGGGGGCCGGCGCCAGGGCACTGCACCTGCCCCGACGCGGCCCCCGGCGGGACGGCGACCGCCGCTGGAATTTGCCTGGGGACCCGGGGACCGGGGCCTGACGTCTCCACGCCCAGCCCGGGGGCCGGAGCTGCGCCCTGGGTCGGCGCCGCGCGAGAGGAGCGCGGGCTCCCGCCGGGCTTTGGGGGAGATTTCAGGACGCGGACAGCGCCCCGGCGGCCGGCGGGCGGGGGCTGGGTCGAGCCCCGGAGCCCCGGGACCCCGGGCAGGGCGGCAGGTGCGGGCGGCGGGACCCCGGGATCCCGGGACCCCGGGCCAGCAGGTGCGGGCGACGGGGCAGCAGGTGCGGGCGACGGGGACCGGGACCGGGCGCGGGACCGGCCGGGCCAGCAGGTGCGGGCGACGGGGACGCCCGGGGCAGCAGGTGCGGGCGACGGGGCAGCAGGTGCGGGCGACGGGACCCCGGGACCCCGGGCCAGCAGGTGCGATCGACGGGGCAGCCGGCAGGGCAGCAGGTGCGGGCGACGGGACCCCGGGGCAGCAGGTGCGGGCGACGGGGCAGCAGGTGCGGGCGACGGAACAGCGGGACCCCGGCAGGGCAGCAGGTGTGGGCGACGGGACCCCGGGGCAGCAGGTGCGGGCGACGCGACCGCGGGACCCCGGCAGGGCAGCAGGTGCGGGTAACGGACCCCCGGGCCCCCGGCAAGGCGGCAGGTGCGCGGCCGGGCCCCGGGCTGGGCGGCCGCAGGGGGCGCCGGGCGGCGGCTGACGCGCGGTCCCCTCCTCCCCGCCGGGCCGCTCCTTCCCGGCCCCGCGGCGCCCCCGCCTCCGCAGGTCATGGAAGCGCCGGGCAGCCGGCTGGAGCCGCCCCCGCTCCCCGAGTACAGCTGCAGCTACGTGGTGTCGCGGCCGGTGTTCAGCGAACTCGCCTTCCAGCAGCAGCACGAGCGGCGCCTGCAGGAGCGCAAGACGCTGCGGGAGAGCCTGGCCCGCGGCTGCAGGTAGCGCGGGCCGGGGCGCGGGGGGCGTCGCCAGCCTGCGGGGCCGCCGGCCTTCCCGCTCTCGGGGTGGCTCCACCGTTCTCCGCCCCGGGAGGCGCCCCGGGAGGCGCGGGCTGCGGGCCGGGACCCAGCGGCGCCCAGTGTACGCCCAGGCTCGGGCCTCCCTGGGGCAGCGGGACCCCCAGGGAGCCCTGCATCCTCCCCAGCCGCCAACGGGCCACCTGTGCCCAGCTACCACGACAGGAGCTAGACAACTGTCACCTGCTGCCAGATTTTCTTTGGTTTTAAGAATCTTTTTTTTTTTTTTAAGATTTCATTTATTATTTATGAGAGACGCAGGGAGAGAGAGGCAGAGACACAGGCAGAGGGAGAAGCAGGCTCCCTGCAGGGAGCCCGACGTCGGACTCGATACCGGGACTCCAGGATCACACCCTGGGCTGCAGGCTGGCGCTCAACCGCTGAGCCACCGGGGGCCCAAAGAATCTTTTATTATAGGACATAAGTATATACACAAGTAGACGTAGTATAATGAAGCCCTCTCCATGTTTTTACCCATCACTCCGTTTCAAGGACCAGGTCTCTCTCTCTCTCCACCCACTTGTCCTCATTCTATTTTTTAAAAAAGATTTTATTTATTTATGAGACACACACACACACACACACAGAGGCAGAGACACAGGCAGAGGGAGAAGCAGGTTCCCTGCAGGGAGGCGGACACAGGACTCGATCCCTGGACCCCAGATCACACCTGAGCTGAAGGCAGATGCTCAGCCGCTGAGCCACCCAGGCATCCCTATTTTTTTTTTAAAGCAAATCCTATATACCGTATCTTTTTTTTTTTAAGATTTTATTTTATTTATTCATGAGAGACACAGAGAGGGAGAGAGAGGCAGAGACACAGGCAGAGGGAGAAGAAGGCTCCAAGCCAGGAGCCTGACTCAGGACTCGATCCCGGGACCCCAGGATCACCCTGAGCTGAAGACTGGAGCTAAACCGCTGAGCCACCCAGGCATCCCCTATAGCATATCTTTTTGTCTGTATATATTTTGGTATATGTGTCTAGGGACTCTTTAAAAAAAAAAGCAGTTACCTTATCACACCTAAAAAATAATTCCTTAATATGAAAAAGTCAAAATTTCCAATTGTGTCATAATTTAAATAATTCAGTTGAATGAGGATAATGACCACCCACTCTTAACATTTTTCCCCTTTTATCTATAGGATACTGAATTTAGAAAATACTAAATAGCAAGGCGCAACAAAGTGTACATTTATCATGTTAAGATTTTTGTATAAACTGCCTCCAAGTTTGTGTTGCCAAAATAAAGAGAGTGTGTTTATTTTTCTTTAAAGAAAAAAAAAAGGAGTAGGAGAAGGCGCCTGGGTTAGAAGTCTGAAAATTAATCTCCATTTAGAGACTCCACATTGATCGTTCTGTGGCTGGTCTAGAAAATGGGTCCTTGTGTGGGGATATTTTCTCAGAGGATTACAAAGGTGGGAGAGGGGGAGGCGACACTTAATCCTGTGTTTTCTAGTACAGGGCATTTATAAGGGTAGATAGAGTTCTTGGCAAAAGCATGGCAAGCACTTCAGCGTTGGTATTTGCCATGCAATTCTTATTCTTTTTCCAAACGGTTGTAAAGATCAGCCCAGTCCTGCTCAAAACTTTGTGCTTTGCAATTGGTCGTGCCCGAGATGGTATTGGAAACCCACTTTTCTTGCCTTTTGACAGTTGTTCAAGGAAGAGAGGCCTTGGTGTGCTGAAGACTCTCCTGCCCATCTTGGACTGGCTCCCCAAATACCGAATCAAGGAATGGCTGCTTAGTGACATCATCTCGGGAGTTAGTACTGGGCTAGTGGGCACGCTGCAAGGTACGTGTTGGTGGATTGGCTTCCAGGTGATTGAGAGTCACAATCTCCAGCAGCTCCTGACTCCCAGGAGGCTGTACCAAATGTTTCCTTACCCTTCGAGATCTTCATCTTTCCTCTAGAGCCCCTTAGTGGACAGATCTGCCTCTTCTTTCCTCTTCCTTAGAGTTCTCCTCCTGGGAAACCCTTCATGGCTTCAGGGAGAGCCCTAGCACCTGAGCAGCGGCTTCCCAACCTTTACTGACCACAAGTCACAGTAAGAAATAGATCTGCACACACTTACCTCAAGTTTTGTGAGATAATATCTACCCTCACTACGAGCAATATACTCTGATAGTTTCCGTTCTGTCCTATTCTATTCTGCTTATATTTTTAAAATGATGATTGCCGTCCATTAAATTATTTTGCATCCCACACTTGGGTCTTGACCTGTAATTTGAAGGTGGCTTAAGGGGAAGTGAAGGAAGTATTTTAGCCTAGAGTGTTGTACATAACATTTTTTTCTGTCCTCCTTCCTTTTTTTAATCCATCCTCTTATTTTAATCTCTGGCAAAATGTCTTAACAGAGGTGTTTTGTTTTAAACAGGCTTTATATTTCCATGAACATCTTAGAAATCTGTTTGCATACTTGGTGAAGAGCAGTATGAGCATTCTCCTCTGTCTCCCATCCCCATTGTCTTCCTTCTGCTATCCCTCCAACTCTACAAAGCCCCTGGACCATGAAAGCAGAAGTCTCATTTATTTATTGTAATTTTAGGGGGCATCTGATATGCTCCAGGCACTAGGTATGCTGACATGAATAAAATGTACCACCTGCTCTCAAGGAGCTCATGGTCCCGTGAGAAAGTGGGTAATGACAGTTCAACACAGGCAGGGACAGGGGTTCAAGGCCTAGGAGGTGAGCCAGCTTAGAGGCTCACCACCCAGCTTTAGGGGACTGGGAATGGCTTCCTGGAGGCCAAGTTGCCACAGTGGAGTTTCCGGGAAGGTTAAGTCTGAGATTGTCAAACGGGAAGTAGAGTTGGGTGGGGATGTGGGTAGAAAGATGGTTTGAAAATGGACCATTTCAAAACTTAGTAGCAACAGTCGATGAGCAATGTCATGAGCCAACTTTTGCCCATAGAGCTCTCAGGGTTACTCAGAGCAAGCCCGGTAGATTTCCACAGAGGAGGATGTTCTGTGGCCCCCAGTGCAGCTCCAGCCTGACCAACCGTGTTTTCAACCACAGAGGTGGACTGCGCAGCACATAAGTTCCATGATGCCACGTGCCCACGTGCACAGTGGACTCTTAAAAGCTGTGACGTAGCAACACCATGTGACTCCTGGGGGACAGGAACCATCCAACTCCTGTTTGCTTTGCTAGTGCCCGGCACAGAGACTGGCACAAAATAGATGGCCTCCTAAACATTTAGTGAAGAGGATTGATGATGAATCACCCTTATATGTGAAAAATGATATTTCAAGCTCTATCTCCCAAATTTTCATAGGCCGCCTAAGAATTAATCCTACTTTTAATTCGGTTTATTAAGTACCAGACACTATGCTGAGGCTTTGGCCAATTATCTCATTTAATCTTCACGAAAACATTTATTAACCCCTTAGTTAGACAGATGAGAAATCCATTGAGCCCTTTTCTATCTCAGTAAAGTCATCTTTGTAAGGCGAATTTCTGGGAGGTGAACCTGGTCCATTCCTGCATTCATTCACCCTTCATTCACTTAGTACTATTTGTAAACCAATTCTGTATGCCAGGCGTTCAGCGGTGAAGATTCAGTGGTTTATTGACAAGCACAGGTACTGACCTCATGGAGTTCCTTTTTTTTTTTTTTATGGAGTTCCTTTTGAGTGGTGGACATTAATTTAATTAAATTATTAAGTATATAAAGTGAAAAAATAATTACTGACTGTAATAGATGTAATCCATTGTGTTGGATTATATACTCTGTACTAGGGATTATTTTGAGGAGGGAGTATTTATTTTAGATAGAATGGTCAAGGAAGGCCTTACTGAGGAAACAAAATGTAGTCAGAGGTCCAGAGGATAAAGAGACGCCATAGAAAGAGCAAAAGGGAGAGTGTTACCAGGGAAAGGCCCAAGGCCAAAAGGAGTTCAGTATTTTCAAGTGAGTTGTAAGAATTCTAGTGCAGGTGGGTGCAGTGGGTGGGGGGAGGGTGAACAGGAGATAAGGCTGGGCAGGGCTTGGGGCTAGGATGAGGCAGTGAGGCACTTGCTCTCAGAAGGCTTCCTTAAATATTGTGCCTCGGGCCCCTGGCTTGCCTCACCCCACTCCCAGCCCCGAGGACAGGTGTGTCAGCTTAAACCAGCTCCAGCAGGAGATGGAGAGATCCGCAGAGATCTGACATATATTTTGGAGCAACAATCACTGGTGTCTCCTGATGGATTTTGCATGTAGATGAAAAATCCCAGATGGCTCCAAAGTTATTGGCTTGAGCAACCGGGTAGATGGTTATGTCCCTTATTAAAATGGCAACGGCTGGCTGAGGAGCAGGTTTGGGATGGAAAGTGAAGAGTTTCCTTTTGGACACGTGCGTGAGACCGCTAAGTGGAAATGCCAAATATAGAGCTTCTCTTGAGCTATCACAAGAGAAGGGGAGAGGTCTGGGCTAGGCAGAAAAATCAGGAAAGCATCCCTTTGTTGAGGTGATCTCTAAAGGAGTGGGAATGCCTGAGGAATTCCCTTTATTCTCTCCTTTATCCGGGAGAAAGGGCAGATGGAAGAGAAGATGGCTGGACCATTCAGAGGTCAGGAAGATAAGAGGCGGAGGAGAAACATGAGGTGGCTCAGGAGGTTGCAGAGGAAGAGCAACTGGAGGGATGTGGGGTCAGAAGCCAAGAGACAAGGTTGCTTTAAAAGGATACAGGCCTCGTAGTGTCCTACTCTTGAGGGGAGAGTCTGAAGACACAACACAGAGCAGGCTTTTAAGAAGCTTTGCGTGTGGGGCACCTGGTGGCTCAGTCGGTGAAGCATCTGACTCTTGGTTTAGGCGCAGGTCCTGAGATCGAGCCCCACATCAGGCTCTGTGCCCAGTGCGGAGTCTGCTGGACAGTCTCACCATCCCTCGGCCCCTCCCCCTGCTTGCACACATGCTCGCTCGCTCTCTCTCTCAAATAAATTTTAAATTTTTTTTAAAAGGTTTACTGTGAAGCAGAATAGAAAAATGGCTGTAAGCAGAGAGAGAGGTAGGGGATGGAGGTAGAATGAGGGAGGATTTCGTTTTCTTTCCATAGAAGAGAGAACCAGAACACGTGTGGGGACTGGTGGGGGCGTCTTGTAGAGAGAGGGGCGTCTCTGGCCCAAGAGGTGGGGGAGAAACTAAAACGTGGTGTGAAGGGGGGATTGCAGATGGGGCTAGAGGACAGAAGTAGGAGGGTTGCTCCTTAAAGACAGGAGGGATATTTCCCCCATTTTTAAAAGCAAAAAGAGAACAAATGGTGCAAGGATAGAGGGGTTTGAAATTATGGTGAAAAGCAAATTGGGAACATCTCTTAGGGACTCTTGAGGTGGAGCCTGACTCATCTTGGAACCGGGTGGGTGTGCAGAAGGGGGAGGGGCAGCCCGAGAAAGTCTGGGAGGGGAGGTCTGAGCCACCAGGGCTCCCCAGCGCCCACCTGGGGCCTGACTCTCCCACAAGGCCGACGGGCCCCAGTGCACACTACCTGGTCCAGGCCAGCTTCTCCAGCTGCTCAAGCACTTGTCACCCCACGAGGTGGGTGTTGGGTTCAGCCAGGCAGGGTTTCACCAGACAAGAAAAGGGAAGGGGGGAGAGAGTGAGGCAAGGGGGCTCCGAGTAGGTGAGAAAGTCCACCGGCAGGAGGCAAGAGAAGACAGGGGAGGCACCAAGAACAGGGAGGGAGCCAATCAGTCAATGGTTTGGAAGCCTCATGGGAACAAAGAAATGTAGCAGCAAGGATTGCCCAGTAGGTCAACTGAAAGGCTAGGAGGCAATGGTTTGAGAGAGGGAGGAGATTGCAGGGCAGGACCAGAATCCCTAGTGGTGGTGAGCGAGGGCCACACCACACCCCGGCTGGCCTGGCACCTGATGGGTGGGCCAGTAACTCATCGGAGAGGGCAGGCTCAACTCCCCAGAAGCCATTTGTTGCTAAGGGTAATGGGATCTTTTTGACTTCTGTTATATATAAAAAAAGAAGTTACCACCAAGCAGCAAAATATCAATGCAAGCCTTTTAGGGGTATCTTCATTCCCAACTACAGGGGAGACCGCCCTCCAGTTTCTACTCTTGCCTTCTAGATGCTTGCCAACCTTTTTAAAAGGGATTTTACTTATTTATTCATGAGAGACACAGAGAGAGGCAGAGACACAGGCAGAGGGAGAAGCAGGCTTCCTGGAAGGGAGCCCGATGCGGGGACATGATCCCAGGACCCAGGGATCACGTCCTGAGCTGAAGCAGACGCTCAACCGCCGAGCCACCCAGGTGCCCCTTGCCAACGTTCGCCAGCACCACCTTTACCAGCGTGTGCCGCCACCTACACGTGAAGGCCACCAGCAGAGGTTCTGGGCTTCAATCGATGGCTCAGACTTCTTTACGCACCACATTCCTCTATAAAAAAAGATGCTTACAGTATCCTCAAGCAGCACTTGTCCCTAAGTAGGACACTATATGGAAACAGACAAAGTCCCTGTTTCCTGGGGCCTGTAAACACAGCAGAGCCCAGTTCAGGGAAGTGAAGTTTGAGAAACATTTAGGAAAAGTACATAGAGAAGAGGTTGCTTTTATTTCCTGCTCCTCTTATATTCCCACTGTGGAGTCACCTTTTGGCTGCAAGCTCTTGGCATGAGGGGTTATCGCCATTTCTTGTAAGTTATGTATTAAGACGATTGCATCAGGAATACAGGTTATTCTAGAATGCAGATTCTGTAAGGGCAGACTCTCTTGTCCATTCCCACATCCTCCCAAACCATGTGCGGGCACATGGGAGGTCTAAGATCAATAGTCATCAAGTAGAATGCATGAATGCTTATTGTAGGAAAGCAAGAAAATACACACGAGGAAGCTGAAAAATACCTCCTCTGCTATCTAGAAGCCTCCTTTGATCCTACCATGCAGACAACCCACTAATATTTTAGTAAATATCCTACTAGACACATAAATTCTGTAAAAGAAGAAAATGTCAGAATGATAAAAGCACTAAATTCAGGAGAGCGGTTGCCTTCTGGCGGGGGAGGGAGGAAGGACCGTGTGACGGAGGAGAAGTATATGGGGTTGCAACTTTACTGGCAATTTATTTCTTAGGCTGGAAGGTGAACACATGGGTGTTCAGTATATTAGTCTTTTTGTATATGGAAGTGACTTAGTATAATACTGAAAATCTTTCGAGATTCTTTTGTGCATGCAACGTCCATGTTTACTTTTTATAAAAGTGAGAGTGTGCATGCTTACCATGATTTTTTAAAAAAGATTTATTTATTTGAAAGAGAGAGAGCACAAATGGAGGGGAAGAGGGGCAGAGGGAGACGGAGAAGCAGGCTCTCTGCTGAGCAGGGAGCTTAACCTGGGGCTCGATCCCAGGACCCCAGGATCATGACCTGAGCCGAAGGCAGACACTCAACTGACACTCAACTGACTGAGCCGCCCAGGCGCCCCTGTACCGTGATTTTGAATCCTGCTTGTCCTCACTGCTTTATTCTTTACCTAGCTCCATGTCAGTAGATGTATTCCTATGCGTCACATCAATTTCCTTTTACAGGATTACGGTGCGTCAGGTATAACTTGGGTAAGCACTTTCCCGCCCTGCGAGTACAGTGGGTCACCTAAATGCACCAGACGTGTATTTAGTAAATCCTGCGGGCACTGCGAGCCGGGATATTTAGGTTGTTTTCTGCCTTTTTGAAACTGCCCTCCATGTAGTCCTTTGTTAAGGGGCCAGTGATCAATGGGCTTGAGTTTCTTCTCACTGGGAGTGAAATGTGAGGAGGTGATGACTCCCCAAGAAGTACTTAGCCAAGGGCAAGCACGGACTCCGCCACGCGGGGAGCCAGGACTCCAAGCTGCCAGGGCCGGGCCGCTGGGTGGAGGCGCCCGGCTCCTGCCTGCACCTGTGCGCGGTTGTCATGGTTTCCTGGGTTTGGATCCAGTTCATTCCCCAGCAAGACAGGGGGGAATGACTGTGCCCCTGTGGACACGGAGACCAACACTGCCTTCCCTCCAACATCTGTTTGCAAAACTGCTCTGAGCCCGCGGACTGAATCCACGAAGTCTTTAACCAACTGACTTGCCTTCGCTTTTCCACTCGTCTAATCAGTGGATAATGGGATGACTGATCGATTCGATCAATTTATTTAAGCAGGTGGTGCTCGAGGATGAATCGCTCTCTCAGCTGATCCAGATCACGTTGGGCAACCTGCTGTGGCCCCCAGCAGGACTGTACGGCAAACCAAGCAAGACCAGCCAGGGCGAGCTGCAAATTTGGAGTATCGATGAAAAGGCCTTTCTTTGAACAGGAGAAATGATGCTGTAACTTTTGTGTGTGAATTTACTCGTTTTGGATGTACTTTCAGGCATGGCGTACGCTCTGCTAGCCGCGGTTCCTGTTGGATATGGTCTCTACTCTGCTTTCTTCCCCATCCTGACATATTTTATCTTCGGAACATCAAGACACATCTCAGTTGGTAATTAGAAGCAACACTACAATTGCATTTATTCCTGTTTAACGTGCTTTGGCTACAGGATGGGTACGAGGCTTCCATACCTTTGTTAATGTTTTCCAGAAAAATAGGCCTTCAATGCTTCACAGGCTTCTCCCATGTGACGATGTAGTGGTTCTTCTTAGCTTTCAAAATACCATCTCTTTGGTCTTAAGTTTATACGTAACTCCTTTTTTTTTTTTTATAAAGAGGATAGAATTGAAAGATTGTCAAGATAACAGTCTACCTTCAAGTTCTAGCATATTTTCATTTTAAGAAATGTAATGAATTTGACTCCGTATTTAGAAAGCGGTCACTTCCAAAATGCAAAATGGGAAAAATATCTTCAAGGGGTCTTCAAACCTCCTGTTTTACTAGACCAACTTATCATTTACTAAATTGTGTTCATCAAATACATATTCATCATTTCATTAAAAACTGTACTCCTTTTAAGTCACTAATATTGGAAGGCTGGCAAAAGTGTGCCAAAACTATTTAGAAACTAAGTTTGGCTTTCCTTCTTGGTATGGCTCAAAATAGGCTTATTTTCTGCTGTTCCTAAAATCTGAATTCTCTTTTGCTGGAATGTTCTAGTAAGTGAATGTTTTAATGCTATTTTGTGACTTTGACATTTATACTTGAGATAATTTTGCGCCTACATCCATCTGCTGGCTAGACATGTCTACCTGGACAATCCGCTTGAGACAAACACAATCATCAGCTGTATCTCCAACCCATAGCCTCGTCCTTAGCTGTATAGTCCCCAGTACCTGGCGTATTGCCTTGTCTATGGAAGGAGATCAGGAAAAGGTTATTGATTGGAAGCACTTCCTCGCCTGGGAGAATCGATCAGTATCAGAGGCTCGACAACATGAGGAACATAGGAGCTGATTTTTTTTCTCTTTGGTATCCTATACGTGTAGACACTCCAGGTTCCTGGATTTTGGTACCGAGCCCTTCCAACTGTCAGAGCCTTCCATGACGAAAGGATAGGATCACCATCACGGATAAAAATATCAGGAGTGAATGGGAGAGAAGGAATCCTTTCAAAACACAGCATCTTATAGACTGGCATTTGATATGAAAAAAATGATTTGTCTTGAAAAGAGAAGAAGATAAACTATATACTCTCTTTGCTGTCCCTATATCCCAATCTGGAGCTTGTACCATTGTATTTATTTTAAGCATCATTTTCCTAATTAGCTGTGTAGGTTTCTCTTCGAAGATGAGCTGAGACCAGGTACTCAGATCCATCGAGATCAGGGCATAGGATGTCCTAGGAAATGAGCTTGTATGAAAGAAATGGGATAGAACAAGTAAGGATTCAGCTTGTTTGCCACCAGGAAAGGTTTCCTGGTAGCTTCCCCCACCCCTGCCCCAACATGCATGAAGACCATGCAAAGACATGTTAGATAACCTTCCTGTGTAATCACCAAGCATCCGGAATGCCGTATTAGAACTGCCTACCTGCATGTCTCTCTTGCTCATTTCTGGGTCACAAGTGCTTTGCTTGAAATGTCTGCTTTGTAGCTTCCTTGGTGAACAAAAAATATTTTCTCAATCATAGCTAAGAATTTCACATGTCTAATCCTATGTAGACATGTTGAACCTAAACATTGGTTATGAATAATTATTAATTGATAGAGGCTTCTTTCCCCCAGGGCCATTCCCAGTGGTCAGTTTAATGGTGGGATCTGTCGTACTGAGCATGGCCCCGGATGAACACTTCCACACATCCAGCGGTAACGGCACTGCATTCAATGCCACGGTGATAGACTACGCGGCTAGAGATGCAGCAAGAGTATTGATTGCGAGCACCCTTACTCTTTTGGTTGGAATCATCCAGGTAATGGGATTGCAAGTACAAGATGGATTGGCATGGTTTTTATTTGAAATAACTGAGTGTGAAGCATGTGGACTTCGATATTCATTTAAAAGCGAAACAGAGCAATTTATCGGACCCCCCCCAAAGTTATTTTCTAAATTATATTGTTTTAGGTCAGATGCTGAAATAGTCAGCAAGACCCCACTTATGAAGGCTCGAGTACCATCCAAGTCAGAGACAGAAAAAAAAAATCAGAATAACATGTGTGATTCAAATGAGGATGAGGGAAGGGAAGTGTGCAGAACCAACAAAGGAGAAAAAGTGTCCTGGTGAGCAGAGCCATGGGATCTGAAAGTCACAGAAATAAGCCACATGATTTTTGTTTTTCTTATTACGTATCTAGAAATACTTCAAGGTTCATATTGCCGGAGTTTTCAAATTTTAGAGTGGTGGAGGGGCATGCCTACGAGTATTTTTGTATTATTAGCAGGCTACCAGAGTTTTAACTGATGTTTAGTTTAATTCGTTAAAAGAGTCGGTCCTTCTCCCAGGCAAACATTAACTTTTTCTTTCCTTCTTATACTAGTTGATATTTGGAGGTTTGCAGATTGGATTCATAGTGAGGTACTTGGCAGATCCTTTGGTTGGCGGATTCACAACAGCTGCTGCCTTCCAAGTGCTGGTCTCACAGCTGAAAATCGTTCTCAACGTTTCAACCAAAAACTATAATGGAGTTCTCTCCATCATCTATGTAAGTGTGGCTTCTTACTCTGGGGATGGCTCACTGAGAAAAATCTCTTCTTTCCCCTTTAACCTGCATCTGGAGAGCGTAAGTTGCCCCCATGCCATACTTCGGGATGCCATGGAAAACCTCCTCCAAAAAGCAAGCAATAGAATCAGGAGTAACATTGAAGACGGCACATTTTACAAATCATCGTTCTCAACTGGTCAGAGTGGTTTCAAAAGTGTCACTGAACTCAAAAATATTAATGAAAACAAAGCAGTATAGTGAAGTGAAGTCTGGTCTGGGATGCCGTGGACTTGAACTCCAGTGTCAGCTTGGCTTCTGATAAGTTCTAGTGACTGTAGACACACCTGGGGGGATAGTGGCTGAAAGCTCAGGATTGGAGCTGGGTGACCTGGAAGTCATGTCCTGACTCTACTAGTGATATGAGCAAATCACCATGCCTCGGTTTCCTTCTCTGCCAAATAGACTTGGTAATAATTATCTATAGTCATAGTTAAGTTAAATGAGGGTGTCAGAGAAACACTTGGCCCAGAGGCTGGCACATGACAAGTACTCGAAAAAAAGTAGCTAGGTTAAAATTATTATTTCACATGCCAAGGCTTCTTTTTTTATTTGTTAAATGAAACGACTGGAGATGTAGCTCTAAAGCCCTCTCTAACTGCGACAGTCCGTAAAATGCATAATGTAAATGTCTCAGCAATTATAGATGAAAAGGAACATTAGATTCAGAGATGATTCAACATGCAAAAGAGATGCAAAAGAAGGATGTAGATCACACTAATTAGATTTGAAAAAGTTCTTGGGCCTAAATATACGTTCTATATAAAACATGCTTATTGATGCTTGAAAATGATAATGATAGTAACATGATGTCATCCTAGCTTGGGGAGAATGATAGTCTGCAAAAATAACGTGCTAGGCCTTAAGAATGGAGTTTAAGGCCTTTAATGACCCAATGGATTAGCTTTGGAAACAGGGTAAGGCCGTGTATCCATATGTAAAAATTAGCCAGGTGGTGAGGAATTTGTTCAGTTCCACGACAATGCCGTTACCCCACATTGCTCTAGCCCTTCAACAAATACTGCCCAGTGCCTGTCACAGGCCATGTACCCCCTGAGCCCTGGGAATAGGTAAAGGAGGTAGTCTCACGCAGGGATTAGTCCGGGGCTTTGAGTTTCAGTAGACCAGAATTGGAATCTCAGTTCCACTACCTACTACCCGCATGATTTGGGGCATGTGATGTGTAACTTTTCTACATGTCAGTGTCCTCAGTTGTAAAATGGGAGTGATCACAGTAGCCACCTCTTAGAATTGCCAGGATTAAAAAGGATAATCTGTGTAAAGCACTTAGTACACTACCTGGCTCATAGTAAGAGCTTAGTCATTTAATTCATAATAATAATAATAATAATAATAATAACTACTATTATTATTTTCGTGACTAAGGTGAATAGACCTCATGGAACTTGCAGTTCACTTCCCAAGGAGCCAGCCTATGAATGTAGGCTGTTTCTTGATTCAGTATTATTTTTGTTGTTGTTGCTTTTTTTTCCTACCAGGTGCTTGGTTCATTTTGAAACCTTCTGACTGCCTTTCTCTGACAGACTCTCTCACCTTTGCAGTCCGTGTCATGTCTTGCTTTTTTTTTTTTTGGCTTTCATACCTTCCCTGTCAACTGTTCATTCATTTATTCCTTCATTGCCATTCATACAATTCATCTAAATAGGTATTTAGACTACCTCCAATGTGCTAGGAGCTATTTTCTCCCTATACAAATCCACTGACCCCTGAATCCACCAAGATACCCCTTACTGAGTATATTCACCTCTTCGTAAACATTGCTTGGCCTGCATCCACACAGATCACAGGGGGCTTAGGCCCTGGCCATTCGGGGACCTCTGCAGATAAGAATAGTTCTTCTGGTCTCTTAGGACTGGTTTTTTTCTTTTAAGCTCTTATTTTAATTCCAGTATAGTTAACATATAGTGTTATTCATTTCAGGTGGACAATATCGTGATTCAGACACTTCTTTTTTTTTTTTAATTTTTTATTTAATTTTTTTAATTTTTATTTATTTATGATAGTCACAGAGAGAGAAAGAGAGAGGGGCAGAGACACAGGCAGAGGGAGAAGCAGGCTCCATGCACTGGGAGCCCGATGTGGGATTCGATCCCGGGTCTCCAGGATCGCGCCCTGGGCCAAAGGCAGGCGCCAAACCGCTGCGCCACCCAGGGATCCCGTGATTCAGACACTTCTATACAGTACCTGGTGCTCATCACAAGTGCCCTCCTTAATCCCCATCACCTGTTTACACATCCTCCCACCCCGCCCCCCTCTGGTAACCAGCAGTTTGTTCTCTATAGTTAAGAGTCTGTTTCTTTGTTTGCCTCTTTCTGTCTTTCCTTTTTTTAATTTAATTTAATTTAATTTAATTTAATTTAATTTAATTTAATTTAATTTATTTATTTGAGAGAGGGAGAGTGAGTGAGAGAGAGCACAAGCCAGGGGGAGAGGGAGAAGCAGACCCCTGCTGAATGGGGAGCCCCAATGTGGGGGCTTGGCCCCAGAACCCTGGGATCATGACCTGAGCCAAAGGCAGACAGTTAACTGACTGAGCCACCCAGGTGCCCCGCCTCTCTCTTTTTCTTTTGCTCTTTTGTTTTTAAAATTCTACATATGAGTGAAATCATATGGTATTTGTCTTTTTCTGACTTATATTGCTTAGCATAATACCCTCTAGCTCCATCTATGTCATTACAAATGGCAAGATTGCATTTTTTTGGATGGTTGAGTGATATTCCTCTGTGTGTGTGTGTGTGTGTGTGTGTGTGTGTGTGTGTGTGTACACCACATCTTCTTTACCAATTCATCTGATGATGGACATATGGGCTTTTTCTGTATTTCGGCTGTTGTGGACATTGCCACCATGAACATTGGGGTCCATGTGCCCCTTTGAATCACTATGTCTGAATCGCTTGGATAAATACCTAGTAATACAATTGCTGGATTTTAGGGTAGTTCTATTTTTAGCTTTTTGAGGAAACTTCACACCTGTTTTCCAGAGTGGCTGTACCAGTTGAAATCTGGAACTGTGGGACTTCCAGTTTTGTTTTCCTTTTTCAAGATTGCTTTGGCTCTTTGGGGTCTTTTGTGGTTCCCTACAAATTTTAGGATTGTTTGTCCCAGTTTTGTGAAAAATGCTATTGGTATTTTGATAAGGATTACATTAAATGTGTGGATTGCTTTGGGTAGTACAGACATTTTAGCAGTATTCTTCCAATCCTCAATCTTTCCATTCCTTTGTGTCTTTCCTAGGACTATTTAAGACAAAGCTTGCTGCAAATGATCCCACTTTGAAACAGGGACAAAAGTGATCAAGAAATACTAGGACAAGGTCAAAAATAGTTTTAAACCAAACACAATATTTTTTAAAGATTTTGTTTATTCATTCATGAGAGAGGCAGAGACATAGGCAGAGGGAGAAGCAGGCTCTATGTAGGTAGCCAGATGTGGGACTTGATCCCAGGAGCCTGGGGTCACACCCTGAGCCAAAGGCAGATGCTCAACCGCTGAGCCACCCAGGCGCCCCAAACCAAGCACAATTTTTCTGTGACTTATGTCCTCTTGAACATTATTCTTGCAATCTTAGATTAGAATGTATCATGGAATTTTGTGAGAAATTCCTCCAGAGCAGTCAGGTTGGATGAAGATGTCTCAATCTTCCCCGTGTGATAATGCCTCTGAGCTTGCTTTTCAGAAAATGAAGGATCAGCAGGTTGGGAAAGGATTGCAAAGGGTTGAACAAACCACTCAGTACTTGAACAGAGAATTTTTCTTATGACATGACCCGATGCAATCATTAATGAAAGAATCCTTCAACAAATGCCGAGCAGTAGTGGACTCCTCCAGGAAAAATAGGAAGATTGTTGTAAGATACTTTCCATGGCATGTAGCAACTTAACATGCCTTTTGTTAGAAGGTTGTACCTTGGATTGTTTCCATCCCCCAACTCCTCCCCAAAAGGAAAACAATACGAAGAATTAGAGGAGGAAATATTGGGACAGTAAGAAAAACTAAGGCTCTAATTCACAAATGCTGGAGCCACTGAGTATAGGTTGTAGAAGGGGGAATGACAGGATGTTGGCAGGATTCGGAATTGGTAATACTCCTCATGCACTGCGTAGCTACTCAGTTATGTAAGTAAATCCCATAGCACATGGAAGAATGGTTGTGTTTTCCTACCGTTACTTTAAATGCCTTGTCTCAATAGACAAAGGGAGGCTTTCTGCTTCCTTACTGAACTGATACCACCCCCTCATTTCTTCCTCTAATGAAGAGGAAAACACGGAAAAGTTCTGCCCAGATAATGAGAGTCTTGAAAGCCACCAAATCTGCTTCAGTACATAAATACCAAGTCACTCTAGTAAAGAAAAGAACACTTAAAGGGTTGATCTCCGTATGGGCAGGAATTCTTTCTGGTAGGAGGAAATGCCTGACTGCAAGGGGTGATTAGAAAGGGTTTGTCACATTGATAAAGAAGACTTAAATTTGGCACCAAAAGTTAACTGATAAATTTCCTCATATGTAACATCAGGTGTGTATTTTTTTTCTGCTGGCTTCATATGCCCACGTAATGCTAGGCAAAGAAGGAAGAAATGATCCAAATGGTCCTAGAATTCTCCAAGCATGGTAGGAAATATAGTAAAATATTTCCCATCGTTGAAATGGTCATTATTAGGATTTGAACTATTCAGAATACTCGGTTGAAATATGGATTCATATGTGTATCTACATTTTAAATATATTTTAGTAAGTATTTTCATGGTAAACTAAATTAGAATTACTTTTCAGTGCTTTCTTCGAAACTCATTTCTATGATCTTTGAGTATAATCTGACTCCTTCAGTTTATGTAGGTTTTATTTTCACATAGACTAGACTTTTTATTGTAGAAATTTTCATAGGAGATGACTCAGTATATAAGCAACAAATATATTTATATGCTTGTTTAATGCAGTTGTGTAATATAAACTGATTTTGGGTTTTATTGCAACTCATGTTACATTTTTAATATACCAAAGGTGCTTTTTTTATTCCAAGATCTCCTAGATTAAATGGGAATCCTGGAGTGATCATTTTTGTAAGGTGAAATGTTTTTATGATTGGGATAGTTATCTACTTGTTTTCAAGTTTGAATTTTTCCCTCTTGAGTTGAAAGTAAAGCTTTACTGTATAGACAATTAAGTGAAATATGGTGTCCTGCTTACGAATTAATGAGGCTCATCATCAGAAAATCGATGATTGAAAGGGCCAGACAGCGATACCATCACGACTCTGAGGCATGTAGGACTGTTGGCTCCTATGGCAGATGCCCTAAATTCTTGAGTTATGGTGACCATTTGTGGTACTTCTACATTTTCTCTCTCTCTTTTTAAGGATTTTATTTATTTATTTATTTATTTATTTATTTATTTATTTATTTATTTATTTTTAAATTTTTATTTACTTATGATAGTCACACAGAGAGAGAGATTGGCAGAGACACAGGTAGAGGGAGAAGCAGGCTCCATGCACCGGAAGCCTGACATGGGATTCGATCCCGGGTCCCAGGATCGCGCCCTGGGCCAAAGGCAGGCGCCAAACTGCTGTGCCACCCAGGGATCCCTGGATTTTATTTATTTTAAAGAGAGAGAGAGCACGTGCTCTTTGGGGTTGGGAGAGCAGAGGGAGGGGGGAGAGAATCCCAAGCAGACCCCCCACTGAGCTTGGAGCTGGATGCTGGGCTCCATCCTGTGAACTTGAGATCATGACCTGAGCCGAAATCAAAAGTTGGACCCTTAACTGACTGAGCCACCCAGAGGCTCTCATTTTCTCTTTTTCACACAGCTATCACTTGCTTCATCTTTTGCTATCACTGTATCTGCCTCTGGCAATTTTGACTGACTCGGGAAGGCAAAGTAAATTTGTTGGTACTGGGTTTAAAGCAAGAGCAAATATACCTTCTGAGTGAAAGTCTAAGAGGCTTCCTGCAAGTCGAAAACTTGAACTCTATCTAGTTCAAGAACTTGGTGGCTGTCTTTTGCTAGTGTGAAAACTTCTCCCTTCATTCCCCTACCCTTGAATGTTTTCTAGAGAATTGGAGTTGTTGGCAAAATGACTGCTAGATCACTTAATGTTCTTTATACATAACTATTATTGGGTTGTCATTAAAATTACTTTAAATACAGCTTGTCTGTGAAATTAAGTAAGATATATGTTATAAGGGATATAAGATGCTCTATCCTTTATTTTCATATAAAAATATATCTATAAAACGACTCATTAAAAAAAATAACATTCACCAAGAGATTGTCTCAAAGAATTAAAGAATGCCTTCTTAAATCCTGCCTTCCACAGGACTGAAGCTGCTGGAACAAAGGTATTAGTGTTCTTCCCTGGGATTCTCTGTTTCTCTGTTGCTAATCTGCCTTGATTCCCAGAAACCTCCTATTTACAAAACAGGACGAATTAATTCTTGAGTTGGCTTGTCTGTCCACTTAGAAAGAATGTTTTTATTTAAGTCATCTAGTTAAGTTTGAACTAAGTACCAAATTAATTTCCTAAAATTAATATTTGAGCTATATATCAATTCAGTAGCTTTGCTTTAGCATGAAGACTGGATTGATCCCTATGGATCTACATATGAAGTCTTTAGGTATTTTTATGACCACCTATATCATTCAGGTTGGGGAAGAGTTTTACCTAAAATAATGGCTGATTGGGACTTTTTGGCTTATTGGTTTTTAGTCTCAATAATATCACATCAACACTATGAAATTAGCTCCCTTAATAGCCCCTGTAAAACCACTTTAAGATACAAAGCTTTTCTCCAAGTAAAATTCAACATGTAATATTTTTTCTTTTCAAACGTCTCATTTTAATTGTAAAAAATGCAGATAAACAAAAAAAGTAGAAATCACCCATGGTTTTACCGCTGCAATTAACCATCATTAATAACTTGGTATACATAATATATCATAACTTGCAAAAACTGCATATTTTTAATGGTCTCTGTTTTAGCTAACACAAGAATTGCTACTGTCATTAGATTTTTAAATGCTGCTTGATGATGATATGATTTTCCACAAGAGAAGAATATACAATTATTTTCTTTTTACAGACTCTGATTGAGATTTTTCAAAATGTTGGCAACACCAATCTTGCTGATTTCATTGCTGGATTACTCACCATTATCATCTGTATGGCAGTTAAGGAAGTGAATGATCGATTTAAGCACAAAATTCCAGTCCCTATTCCTATAGAAGTAATTGTGGTAAGTAAAACATGTAATTAAAAAATTTGCATTCATTAGTTCGACAAGAAAGAAGTTAGAATAAAGACTAATTCATTCATTCATTCATTCATGAGAGACGCAGAGAGAGAGAGGAAGAGACACAGGCAGAGGGAGCCTGATGTGGGACTCCATCCCAGGACCTGACCTGAAGGCAGATGCTCAACCACTGAGCCATCCAGGTGGCCCAAGAAGTTGTACTATATAGAGAGAATATTACTCAGCCATAAAAAAGAATGAAATCTTGCCATTTGCAGTAACATGGATGCAGCTAGAGAGTAACATGCTTAGTGGAATAAGTCAGAGAAAGAGAGATATGAAGTGATTCACTCACATATGGCATTTAAGAAACAAAACAAATGAACAAAGAGAAAAAGACAAACACTCCCCACCCCTAGATTCTTAAATACAAACTAGTGGTTGCTAGAGGAGAAGTGGGTGGTGGATGGGGAAACATGAAGAGGATTAAGGGTCCTCTTATCTTTTTTTTTTTTCTTTTTAAGAGTCCTCTTATCTTGACAAGCACTGAGTAGTGTCTAGAAAAGTTGAATCATTACAGTCTACACCTGAAACTAATATACTATATGTTAATTATCCTTGGATTAAAAAAAAAAAAAAGAAGAGACCAACAGGGCAGACTGCCCAATGAGGAGACAAGAAAAAAAAAAGGAGTTATTAAAACATGGAGTTTTTTTTAACCTCTTTTGTTTTATTTCAGACAATAATTGCTACTGCCATTTCATATGCAGCCAACCTGGAAAAAAACTACAATGCTGGCATTGTTAAATCCATCCCGAGGGGGTGAGTGTGGAGTTCCTCTTAGGCAAGACTAATATATTAAATCAGTACTTTCTATTTAAAGGAAACCTTTTATTATAAGCTGCATTTCATTGGTGCTCCTTCAATAGTCTTCTCTGTGTGAGATCTTCAAGAAACACCCATTTGTGCAAAGGATCAGATAGATGGTATGCACGTGTAGATAAAGTTCAAGCCATTTGTTGAAAAGCAGCTCCCACAGGCTCTGTTTTTTCATTTTCTGAAAATGTGGCAGGACATGTATGGTTACCACCAGACTCCTGACTTAAACTCATGTGTATAATTACAATATGATACAAATAGAATCATGGTTTGTAGCATTTATCAGAATGAGGACAATCTCCTTAAGGAATAAGGGACATCTGACCTAAGTTCTCCACCCATTAGTTTGTCCATCTTAAATAATAATTATGTCATTTGTTCCTATGAATAAAATGCATTATCTTCAAGGGAGGTTTTATAGATGTTTGGTAGTTCGGGCAATTAGAAGAGTAAAGAGTTGAGTTCCTTTGTCCCCTTCTGTCACCACCTAGATCGATGACTGAGGGCAGGGGGCGGAGGGTCTCTTATAAAACTAGGGTAATGATAACTGGCAAATTCTTAATTTGGGCTTGTTCTGAAATGCCTGTGAGCTCCTCCAGGAGGGCTTGAGGCCTGTTGTCTTGTTTGACGCCATCTTTGTAGCATGGCACCTGTCCCATAGGAGGGTCCCCGGAAATACGCACTGAGAGAAGAATAGCCAAGCCTCTGCTGTTATAAGTAAGCCATTTTTGTCTGATCTCGGAAACAAGTGTCATGACATCAACAACCTTCTAAAAGAAAGGTGGGGGAGAGACCAGAAAAGAGAAGGGAAAGTAGAGTGTTGAGGTGAGTTCCATGACAGGAAGGGGTACAAAGAGAAAGATGGTGCAGGCCACCTCTTTATCTCCTCCTGGCTTCAATCGTCCGATGAGGGGTAAAGTAAGGTCGCTGTTGGCAGCTCCTTTTTCCCCACTGAGAGTCTGTATGTTAGGATCGCTTAGTCCCCCCCCCCCCTCTCTTTCTTTCTTTTAACATAAACCAACAAGATGGACTACTTTCTCATCTAAGTTGTAGTCTCCATTCTTTCTCCTGCCTCCTCTCTGAGCACACTGTGCCAGGGGTCTTGTCATCATGTTCGTGACCGTTGCTTTTGAAGTGACTTGTGCTTTGTACTTGTACTTGAAAGTGTGGCACAGGGGGAACAGGAGCGGGGAGGCCAGCAAAATCACAGAGGTTTTCTCCCAGCTGCCTTCCCAGGGCCACTTTGCCCTTACAGTCAGGTGCTGGTGCATTTGCCAAACATTTGGAGCCAACCTGAAGTCAAGATATGCCCTTGGCATCATGTTTATCATGCCTGACTCTCTGTTAGGGGTCCTCTGGCCTTTCTGGGACCCACCGTTCCCTACCCTTATCTTTTCAGAAAAGTGTCCTTCCTAGTCACTCCCCTTCATGGTATTATCTCATGATCAGGCCAGACATGGGAGGGTTGGCTGTAGCACACAGGGCCACTGAAGGGGGCGCAGGAGATAGGGGACTACTCAGAGGTCATTAGAAGATGTCCAGCCAGGGCCCCAAGTGAGTGGCTTGGGGGTAAAAAAATTGGCACTGCTAAGATCCAGCAAGGTAGTACAGATGGACGCAGGTGTGTGGCAGATGTAGGGGCTCCCTACATTTCCTGAGTACCTACTATGTGTGTAGGTACTAATTACTTACACCTACCATACTTCCTTTACTCCTTCCAACACCCTAGAGAAGAGTATATGGTCTCCATTTGACAGCTGAAGAAACTGGGACTTCAAATAAGTTCAAATAACACGCCCCAAATCAGTTACTTACAGAGCGATGGAGCCAGCTTCTGGGTCCTTGGATTTCAAGTCTCTGTACTTTATACTGTGACCCTGGGGAATCAAGGACCTGGAAAAAGGATCTGGAATTGGAGAAGTAGGCGGACAGGCAGACAGTGGGCATCAGGTCACAATCAAAGGTGAACTCTGCAGGACTGGCAAGTCCTCCGGACAGACCAAATTACCTGAAGTAGGGCTGATCGGGTCTCAGGAAAGAGTCACAAGCCTGGTTTTAAGAAGTGAGGTCCAAGCTCATGTCCAGAAAGTGGAGGTGTGATCCAGAGTCACTCAAGGGCTCGATCAGGGTTTCTAACATCCTGTCCGTCTACATAGAAGATCCACTCCTGAGCCTACTTGTGGGTCAGGATGTGACGTAGATGAAAAGGAGTTTGGGAAGTAACCTCACCTGTGGGGAGAAGAAGGATCCAGGGGTAGAGAACCGGACAGATCTTGTCACGTAGGAAATCAACAGTCCTACCTGGGCTCTACTAACTGATATCGAGCACATCACTTCACTTGTCTGGACCTCAACAAAAGGAGAGAAATAGAATCAACCATTTCCAGGCTATCAGGACAGCATATTAATTTGGATAATATCAGGTTATTAGCTATCTCTAAATTTCTATGGTTTTCTGTAAGCTCTTATTTCTGCTTTAGTACCTCCCTCTAATTAGAGGGGGAAAGTGTAGTTTCCTATTAAGGGAAATTCAGACAAAAGTGAGGTAAGTGAGGGAGATTATTTGGTGTTTTTTTTTTTTTTAATTTGTTTGGGACATTTTTTGGCTAGGGACCTCTGGATATACACCCGGTGGATAGTCATCAAGATAGAGGTACATGACAGTCATTCGCCCAGTTTTCATATTTGGGGACAACTGCATGAGTATAAACTTTCCCTTTCCTTTCGTTTTTCCTTTCGTTTTTCCTTTCCTTTCCTTTCCTCTTCCTTTCTTTCCTTTCATTCTTTCCTTTCCTTTCCTTTCCTTTCCTTTCCTTTCCTTTCCTTTCCTTTCCTTTCCTTTCCTCTCATTCCTCTCATTTCCTTTCCTGCTTTTACCTCCAACATGGGGCTTGAACTCACAACCTTGAGATCAGGCATCACATGCTCTCCCGACTGAGCCAGCCAGACACCCCTAGGTTTATTTCTTTACATGGTTTATAGAATAGTTCTGATATGTCAAACAGTTGTCCTTCTACCCCACAGTCACTGCGAGGTCTTAGTCATTGTGATTCTGGAGCATTCTGATAATTACGTAAATTTAATCTTTTCTACATTCAAGATTTTAAATATCAGGGCTCTTAGACATGGATTTTTCTATTTAGCTCTTTTAAAATCTTATTATTGTTTGTTTCTTTTTTTTTATTATGTTGTTTCTTTAATCAACCCGACATTTCTTCATGCAAGGCAAAGCCTCATTTAATGGCCAGACTATCTTTTAAACTCAAAGGCCTTTAAGATAAAATTGTGCAGGAAGAAACACTAACGTGTGAAATGGCATGATATTAGAGAATCCATTAGGACAGGTTTATTCATGTCAGAGGTGGAGATAAGGGAGCGTTCGTAGGCTCTGGACAGGGGTCGGAAAGTCAGCTGGTGAGCTAGCACCAACTTCTAGTTAAAGATTGTAAAATCGATGCTACCACTTACTTGTCTCAGTGTGCTCTCTCCCCTTGTGGCCAAGCACTTTCATGTCTGGCCTGGGGTCGGGTGGATATAGCCTGTGGTGAGGTAGGAACAGAATTGTGGTCAAATCTTCACTGCGTGTTTTTCATTTAAAAACTCACTAGGTTTTTGCCTCCTGTACTTCCACCTGTGAGCCTGTTTTCTGAGATGCTGGCTGCCTCGTTTTCCATCGCCGTGGTGGCTTATGCTATTGCAGTGTCTGTCGGAAAAGTTTATGCCATCAAGTATGATTACACCATCGATGGGAACCAGGTATGGTCACCCATGTGCTGGACCGCTTTTGTAGGGCTGCGAAGAAGAAAACGGAGCCCACAGGGTAGATTTTGTTGTCTGCTGAAGAAGGGATTGGTGTCTTCCACTGGCCCTTATCGAGCTGGTTTCCCTCTTATGCACACTCATTTGAAATTATTACTATTTTTAAAGACTTTATAAACTTTATTTATTTATTTATTTTTGTATTTTTTTATTGGAGTTCAATTTACCAACATATAGCATAACACCCAGTGCTCATCCCGAAAAGTGCCCCCCTCGGTGAAATTATTTTGAAATATTCAGGCTGCATGTCTATCCCTTTTAAGAAATAAGTTGAAGTCTTTTTTTTTTTAAGATTTATTTATTTATTCATGAGAAACACAGACTGAGAGAGAGGCAGAGACATAGGCAGAGGGAGAAGCAGGCTCCTCACAGGGAGCCTGATGTGGGATTCAATTCTGGACGCTCAACCACTGAGCCACCCAGGCGTCCCTAAGTTGAAGTCTTTAAAAAAAAAAAAAAAAAAGCAGCCCCGGTGGCTCAGCGGTTTAGTGCCACCTTTGGCCCAGGGTGTGATCCTGGAGACCTGGGATCGAGTCCCACGTCGGGCTCCCTGCATGGAGCCTGCTTCTCTCTCTGCCTGTGTCTCTGCCTCTCTCTTTGTGTGTGTCTCTCATGAATAAACAAATAAAATCTTTTTTTTTTTTTAAAAAGAAAGAAGTTGAAGTAACCCAAATTTTAAGAGTTAATTCAGTCGGGTCATAAATAACATTCGAAGCTCATGTAGTAGATCAGCATAAGATGAGGGGGGCGCTTGGCAGAATGAGCACCGTGTGCTATGCTATAATGTTGGCAAATCGAACTCCAATTTTTTTTTAAATTTTTTATTTATTTATGATAGTCACACAGAGAGAGAGAGAGAGAGAGGCAGAGACACAGGCAGAGGGAGAAGCAGGCTCCATGCACCGGGAGCCCGACATGGGACTCGATCCCGGGTCTCCAGGATCACGCCCTGGGCCAAAGGCAGGCGCCAAACCGCTGCGCCACCCAGGGATCCCCTCGAACTCCAATTAAAAAAAAAAAAAAGAAAGAAAGAAAGAAAAGAAAAAAGCATTTTCCATGCAGGCCAGGGTCCCCTGATTGATTTTCTGCAGTGGTGGCTGTCATAGGGCGAGATGACACACCAAACACCATCGACGATGGTTGTGACCACTTTGAATTGAGGTCCTTAAAGTGCTCAGGCCCGTCTTTGTGGACATATGGGGCATTGGCAGGTGAGCCGATTTTCAATTGCTCACAAATCAGCCAGTGTGGTTTGGTTTTGAAAGCCCAGCCCAGCCCTTAGGGCAGCCAAAAGCTTAGGGGTCAAGCCGAATGTGAGGGGTCCGAGTCAGAACATTCCTCGAGCAAACGTGCGGCCACAGGAGAGGCGCTTTATGTGAGCAGAGCCCTCCCCAGGAAGCGTGTCAGCCGGACAGGCCTGGGTCACTATTCCTTACCGAGCTTAGAGACAGCTGGTGACAGCGAGGCCTCTCTTAGACCCCGAGGAACCGCAGGCCCTGGGGCCTCTCAAGACCCCCAAGAACCTTTAATGGTACAGGATTAAACTGGGACCACCAGATAGGTTAGGGTGGGCTTGGGAGTCTGCTTTCTTACTCTTCCTTAAATCCCGGGAGAGGGTCCTACCAAGATTCGTAGCATCCCTGTGTCACCCGGTCTTTGCCTTAGGAGTTCATTGCCTTTGGGATCAGCAACATCTTCTCTGGATTCTTCTCGTGTTTCGTGGCCACTACTGCCCTGTCCCGCACTGCCGTCCAGGAGAGTACTGGGGGGAAGACTCAGGTACGGAACAGCAGCTTGACTGCAGGATGAGCCGGGGGTGGCCCTCAGGAAGGCTTCCACAAGCACCCAGCAAGGCAGTTACCCTTTGACCCTAGGCTTGTGCTTCCTGCGCCGACCCTCCCCAGGGCTCAGCCAACTCCTCCATCCCTCTCCCCACCAAAAACCTCCTAAGTGACGCTGGTGGTTTCCTAATGCACAGATTCTCCAAGGAATTTCTATGTTTGTGTGCAGCTGGCAGGTAGCTCCACTCCACCTGCCTTTCCAGGGCTGATAACAACTGATAAGGAATCAGTGGTGTAGAATGCTGATTTTTATCAGTTTGTGATCTGGGGATAGAGAAGGCCTAGTTTCCCTAGTTGCCAGCCTAGTTTCCAGCACTTCGAGGCTGGAGTGAGGCTTTGTATTTTCAGGAAAATACCAACTGTCTGTCTACGTTTCCTCCACTAGGATCAGGAACTTCCTCCAGACGCCTTCGTCCCACAGAACAAGCTTGCCAGCCAAGAATATTTTGGCCATAGCAGTTAGGCATTTCCTCTTGAGGACGATTTTTATTCCTCAAGCTCTGAATGTGGGTTTAATCTTGCCTTTTAAGTGTGGCTTCAAGTTGTAGCCTTCACAAAGGGACCCCAAGTCCAGCATCCCTGTTCATCTCCAAATAGCCCACCTTCGACTGGCCAAAAAGCGTGGGAACAGTTGTCAAAGGCCGTCCTTTCCAGCAGGGCGAGGGCTCAGGTGGGCCAGAGCCAGTGGATGGGGCCGGGGGCAGGCTCCGGAACCAGGCTCCTGCCCTGCCTGGGGCAGGGGGGCATTTTCCCTCCGCACAGAGCTATTGTTTCAGAGTAAAAAGTGCACTGAGGCTATAAAGATGGACACCAAATCCGGAGGAAGCACCATCCCTCACACCCAGGCTTCAGATAGGGTTTTATTAAGGCAGAGACACACATAAGTAAAAGAGACTAATGGAGAAAACCAGTGACTCCCTGCAGTGGCTTGCCCCTGGGGGCCCGAATTGTCCCCAGGGTGCTGGGACACCCTGGAAAGGGTGATGCGGTGATGCTCCTTTCCCATTTATAATGGCTCTCTGTGGGGGGGGGTGTGTGTGGGGGGGATTGGAAGAAGGGCCCTCTTCCAATTTCTTGGTTCCTATTGAACAAATTTCAATTTTCAGAATCTTTCTTTTTAAAACGGAACTTCCTTTTTTGATGGGGGCGGGGGCAGACCTTTCCAGCTCTGAGGGAGCAGGTAAGACACTAGGGCCCATACCAGGAGGCAGAGCCAAGGGCCTGTGGTGCAGGGGAAGAGGTCACAGGTGACTTCCAGAGCTGCACTCGCGTTCGGGCGGCAACTGGCAGCGTTTCTGTGGCTTTCATCGGAGTCACTCAAGGGCATGTGGCTGTCGGCGGGCACAGGCGGGTCCCCAGCTGGTGATGTCCACTCTCCTGCTGTTGCCTCCAGGCTCCGGGGAGGCACAGGCCAGCCGTCCCAGGAAGAATGTCCGTGTAAAGTGATTCCTTGGCAGAGGGCGAGGGGATAATGGCATTCTGGTAAGCTGACACCTGCCGCCGCACACTGGCATGTATTATATTTAGGAATGAAGGATGCCAGGATTTCAGGAGTGAAGAATGAAGCAAGCACAGAAGTGGCTTGATATTTAATTACTGAAATGTATACTAAGTTCTGGGGTTAAAAGTCTAAGTGCCCGGACTGAGATCCAGGGACTCATCATGACCACATACACTGGCAGGTCTTCCCTTGTTGTGTGGCTTCTCATGTTTCCTCTTATGTTGGGGCCTCAGGCTCAGCATCTATAAAATGGGAATAGTAATTGTATCCACCTCATAGGGATGTTGTGAGGACTGGATAAAAATGACCGTAAAGCCCTGGCACGTGCTTGTAAATGCTGTTCCAGTCAGGCACTCCTCCTGACGGGAGGAGCGTCGTAATAGTAGTGATACATGTGTTGTACCCGACACGTAAGAGACACCCAGCAAATATTTCCTGAATGAATGAATGGAGTGATGAGGGTTAGGGCTCTGTTAACTGCCTGCAGCTCAGCTTCAGATTGTCACGGGGCTTAACATTACAACCTGTTCTTTCTCTCATCCCCATCTGACTCCTACTGACTCACGAGGAAGTAATTCTGATTACAAGCTACTCTCAGCTCTGATTACCTTCTCGCTTATAACAGAATCATTATCTAGTGATTGAATGTGCTCCCATATAGAAACTAGAGCAATTCCCACAAACCAGCCTTATAAAGTAAGTACACGTAATGCATCGCTCACAGATTTTTAAAAGTGACCAAAGTTCATCTTGGCCCCCCTAACTGGCAGCTTACTGATACACATACTTGGCAAGGATGTGGCTACTCTCCTGGCATGAGCCAGACAGCTGGCTATGGTCTCTGTCCCCAGATCTCCAGATCTCCATTTCTTTCAGCAATTCACAGAGCCCTACCTCCACAGTGAGGTCCAAGTGGCTCATGATAGGCAACCAGTGTTGTTAAGCAATTGTGAGGAAGGAAGGAAGGAAGGAAGGGGAAAGGAAGGAAGGGAGGAAAGGAAAGGAAGGAAGGGAGGAAAGGAAGGAAGGGAGGGAAGGAAGGAAGGAAGGAAGGAAGGAAGGAAGGAAAGGAAGGAGGGAGGGAGAGAAGGAAGGAAGGAAGGAAGGAAGGAAAAGGAAAGGAAGGAAGGGAGGAAAGGAAAGGAAGGAAGGGAGGAAAGGAAGGAAGGGAGGAAAGGAAGGAGGGAGGGAGAGAAGGAAGGAAGGAAGGGAAGGAAGGAAGGAAGGAAGGAAGGAAGGAGGGATGGAAGGAAAGGAAGGAAGGGAGGAAGGAAGGAAGGAAGGAAGGAAGGAAGGAAGGAAGGAAGGAAGGGAGGGAGGAAGGAAGGGAAGCGGGAGGGAGGATATAAGTTTCTCTGCTCAGATAGGAGAGGGGAAGCCACTGAGGTACAGGTAACCTGGAGATGCGGCACTAACAGGCAACAAAGAGCCTGGAAGTACAAAGTTTTTAGTCTGTTGGATTTATAATGTTGCCTCAGGCTGGTCCAACCATAATTGAAACGTGAATGATCAATTTGCCAGGTGGAAAGACTGTGACTTTTAAAGTTTCCTGAAGTTTCTGGATTTTCCATTTATGTTGGCTTTACCTGTCTCTTTCAACTCCAATCTCTTGTAGCCGGCAGCACCTGTGCCCAGGACAGTCTTCCCCGTTGCTCCTCCTGTCACTTTGCTTCTGGCGCCCTGTCTCCTTTGCTCCTCTGTTTCAGAGCTTCTGGTCTTACTTGGGCCATCTTCCAGCTGTCTCAGTGGAGAGGTCCCTGGTCAGCTAACCACACAGAGCATAGCCCCACCCCCTCGGCCTCTCTCCTAACTATTTATGGATCTTAGGAGAGCTTTTTGGCCAGCGAAGGTAAAGTGTCTACAGGTCCTTTAACCTCTGTTCTTGCCCCATCATCACTGGGTCAAAGCTCTGAGCCTGCGTCCGGGGACGCGGTCCCATGTGCCGTTATGCTCATGTCGCATTTTGAATCTGCACTGGGACTGGTCCACTTATTCCCTCTGAGAGTTCTGTGGGAATCACACGCTATTGAGTACAAAGTGTTTGCAGACTTGCTGTTATGGCTGCTGCTTCCATAAATCGAAGAATCCGATATGTGCTGCGAGGATTTATTTCCCAAGAACATAGGGTGACCTATGGTTGGGGAAGGGTGAGGTCCAGGTTTCCTGCCACAGCAGATGATTACAAGTCGGCCTCCCAAATGGACACTGGGGCACTAGGTCTGTCGTACATCCAGAGGAAATCCAGGTCCCTCCGGCTTTCCCCCAACAGGCTCGGTCTCCACGTTTTCTTTAATTTCTCTGCCATAGATGCCCTCTATATATTTCCCATTTTTTTCTTTAGTTGTATAGAACTTTAGGAAATAATCCTCATTTCTCAACAGTATTGGGCAGAAGAGGGGAGGTGCACCCATGAACAGGCCCTCCTGCGCACATCCAGCAAGCTGGAAGGTGTGAGGGAGGAGGGGGAGCCTTGTTCACGGGAGGCGTGTGTCTTTCAGATTGCTGGCATCATCTCGGCGGGGATTGTGATGATCGCCATTGTCGCCCTGGGGAAGCTGCTGGAACCTTTGCAGAAGGTACAACCCTGATTGCATAATCTCTCTTCACTGCTCTGCCACCGGAGAAATAACAGGAGATTTAAAAATCATCCCATGAAAAGCCATTCCCCTAAATAACACAGCCTTCCCTGTCTCTCTTGGCAGTCAGTCTTGGCCGCTGTTGTCATCGCCAACCTGAAAGGGATGTTTATGCAGGTGTGTGACATTCCTCGTCTGTGGAGACAGAATAAGATCGATGCTGTAAGTCATTTGCTGCCCATTTTTATCTGAAATAAGATTTGGTTCTTATATGCTTCCTGCCACATCATCATGTTCCCCTTATCTCCTCAATCTCACTTGTGTTTTGGGATTCCTGGAGCAGAAATTAGAATTGTGTGGATAAGACAATGCTGTGAAGCCTGCCACAAGTTGTGTGAAGGCTCTATATCTCCGGGGAGATCGATTTCCATCTAGGAAGGATCCCATACACCCAAGTTAAACACCAAACAAGCCAACCAAACCAACCAAACCAATTAAAAAAAAAAAAAAACAATAATAAAAAAAAACCCACTGTAGTATATGAGAATAAACAAAACACAAAACAAAACAAAACCAAACTACAAAATCCTTGCTGAGTACACCTGACCTTTGCAACAGTTCTAAGGAACTCTAAAAACCAGAAGCTAAGTCCTTTAGAATTCTGCTCTCATTTACACCAGGACAGACAAAAAGAATGTGAAAACTCTCTATTTATTGACATGGAGAATTCTCCAAGACACATTGTTAAGTGAAAGAGAGACCAGTGAGGAATGGCATAGTGTGTACGACACATTAAAATATGGGAAAATAAAATACTGTTCAGTCGTATATGCTTATATTTGTAAAAAAATAAAAAAAAGTGCTGGTGAAAAGTGTGCACATGGAGAGGGTTGGAAGCCAAATGTCCCACCTTTTCAATATTAATTCCATTTTGACCTATGTCCATATTTTCCCTACTCAAAAATTAAATTAAAACACATTGAAATGGGGGATTCCTGGGTGGCTCAGCAGTTTGGCGTCTGCCTTTGGCCCAGGGCACGATCCTGGAGTCCCGGGATCGAGTCCCACGTCGGGCTCCCTGCATGGAGCCTGCTTCTCCCTCCTCCTGTGTCTCTGCCTCTCTCTCTCTCTCTCTATCATAAATAAACAAACAAACAAATAAATCTTAAACACACACACACACACACACACACATTGAAATGGGACAAATGGTCTTTATCGGAAAGGTCAATTTCCACTCCCACTTAAACATTAAATGAAGTCAGAATATTTTAAAAAGCTGTAATTCGTTCATGGACAATTGATCTTCTTGTTTTTATAGGTAGTCTCATTTGATGGTGCCTGGTGGATTAATGCAATCCTTCCCATTTCCATTTTGTCCTAGGTTATCTGGGTGTTTACGTGCATAGCATCCATCATTCTGGGGCTGGACCTCGGTTTATTAGCTGGTCTCATGTTTGGATTGCTCACTGTGGTCCTGAGAGTTCAATTGTGAGTAATGTAAGAGCCAGATTTCCCATAAACAGAACCACACACCCTGAGATTTCTTATACCATTTTGATAAAATATAGGGAACCCCACTTTCATAGTAGTTACTGTATATTGAGGGCTTCTACAAATTAAGCCAATAGTGCTTGGCACATGTTGTCATTTTAGTCTTTGGAAAGGAATCCCATGAATAGGTTTTATTATTTTCATTCTATGGGTGAGCAAATTGAAGCTTAGAAAGGTTAAGAACCTTCCCCAAGATCACACAGCTAGTGAGCGGCAGAGTCAGGATTTGAACCGGGATGCATCTCACTCCCAGATCTGTGCACTTAGTCATGTGCTCTCCTGCTGCGCTCTCCTTTTGGTGGTGGGAAGACTAAAAGATTTGTGACTCAGCAAAGGACCGAGGTGGCTCTGTGGTCCCCTCTGCAAAGAGACGCAGTGTGTAGGGCACAGGCCCGGGGCCTGGGACAGGTAGCTGCTAAATATAGTACAGCTCATTTTCTCCGGAAGCCAGTAATGCAGAACAGGAGACTTTGAAAGCATCAGTTGTAGCCAGAGTTCATTCAGAAAAGGAAGCAGGCACCCAATCAGCTACATGATATGAAGTAGACGTCATTGGGTCGTATGCGGAGGGAAAGCAGCAATGACGTGGCTTGACGTCAGGGAGAGTATCTGTTTCTTTGTTGGGTTTGTTTTGACTCTTGAAAGGCTTTTAGTAGGTGCCCTCCTGGGTCTTGTTCCAGTAGAGAGACAAACAGAGCCTGTCTCTCTCCTCAAAACTTCCGTGACCTTTCCAGGCTTCCGGCCTCTTCTCTGCCTGTGCTTGGGCCACAGAGGAATAAGAAACCTGGAAAAGCATCAGTCTTCTACTTAGCATAAGCCCACCCTTCTTATTCTTAGCAGCTAGCTCCCCTGCTCCTACATCTTCCCTACCCTGGCATGCTGGAGTCTCCCTAAAAGCTTGTGTTCACTCCCTCGGCACCCTTACCTGGGTGCCCAAGAGTCCAGAGAGTTCATAAGCTCCCAACGTGCCCAGTGTGCTGCTGGGACAGAACTCCGAACCCGTCCTTGGAAGATGCTGCTTCTCCTGCTCTACTTGCCTCAGTGTCTACTAGGCCTTGTGGGGCTGTGGTTGGGAGAGAAGGGTTTGTGGAGGGAGACGATGTAGCCTATGAGCTTTATGTGGAAATTCGGCCTCGCCCAACAAGCTGAGGATAAGGCAGTGGCACATTTTAGCTGCTGATCTGGTGACTAGGCTTTTAGCCAAGCAAAAGCCGTGTCCTCCACAGTGTTCCGTTTCCAGTAGTTACATGGCTGCTCCAGGGAGCGCGTAGCTGAGTGTACCCCAAAGAGATACTCTTCCTTCAGGGGTCGTGCTTAGCACCTGGGCCTGCTCACACTTGTAGACTCATGGGATTGATCTGATTGCATCAGGAGCAGGAAGTCGGTAGTCTGGTTGGTGGGAAGAACTTCCTCCTGGTTGCCCCCTCCCCAGGCTCCCATTTCCATACGCGGAGACTCATTTGATCCCCGAGGACTTGTCATACTTGCTCAGAAAGTTGCTACACCTCACGAGCCAGAGCCAGGCGCTGTGCAGGCGGTGAGGAGCTCTGGGTCAAATGTAGAGGCTGCCCTGCCCCTTCCTCTGGGGCCCTTCAGACCTGAACCCCAGCCCGCTGACCCGTAAAAATGAAGAGTACTGCTGACCTTCCAGAAGTAGGGTGGCCCTGAGGTAGAATTTGTGTGAAAGCTCTTTGCCTGTCCCCTGAAGTGTCATGCCCATGGAAGTGGGATGCTCGTGACCTCTCTCAGCCCTCAGGAAAGGCCTCCTCCTCCCAGGGCCCATGCGAACACCAGCTGTTCGCTTCAGAGTTAGCTGCAGGGAGATGACATCTGTCCTGAAGACGCGTCCAAAAACGCCAGGACGGTGGCCTCTTTCCTAATCTGTGATTTCTTCTAATGTTTTATTCCAAAGTAGGCCTGTTCCCAAGAATCCTGACCTAATCTTTTCTCCTTTCAGTCCTTCATGGAACGGCCTTGGAAGCATTCCTAGCACAGACATTTACAAAAGTACCACAAATTACAAAAATGTAAGTGCCTTTGTGAGACAACTGCTGGACTTGGGCTTGCTAGCTTGGATTTTCGGGGCAGCGTGTTTCTCCTTCAGCGTATCAGGAACGAGGCAGCCAACGGGCAAGGCTTCTCCAGGAAGGTCTAGAAGTCTGCTGGGCTGTGTCATGAAAACTTTGACCCAATGTGCCTTCTATCCATGGTTTGTATGTATTGTGTGCTAGTATGAATGTCCTTTTAATGTAAAACCATCGTAAGAGGAATTTTTAAAAACAGTCAGTTTAATTATTTCCAGAAGTTGCCTCACAATTCTATTTCTCTGCTATGCAATCCTTATCCTCTATGAAATGATCTGAAATCCCCGTAAGATTATCTTCATTAATTTCTAACATGAGACTTCCAAGTTCTCCGTCAACAAGGAAGCTTATTTGACATTTTGCTCTAATCTCAGAAGAAATAATATATAATACCGGAAATGGAAAACACAAAGACAAGACACATCCCATTGATGGGCTTTTGTTCCCTGCAAATAAAGTAGCTTAGTGGTCACCAGGGGAAATGATGATGAAAAAGCAGAGAAAGAAAATGCAGAAAAAAAACCAATCGTTGGACCCTGAATGTGGAATTCCATTAGCTGCTACTTAAATTATTTCCACAATCTTTCTCAGTTATGCTGAGCCAAGTGCGGCCCAGAGCTAAACATGACAGTAGAGAGTCTTTAGGCTCAGGGAACCATGGGCTGAGTTTGAGAGTTCAGAGTTCTAGGCTCCACCTTGGGGAGACTCTGCCCATGTTGCTCAGCCTCCCAGCACCTGCTTGCTCATCTCAGGGGTTTGGACTGAAACTGATGTAATTCCTAAAGCCTAGAAAAGTCTAGGATTCTGTAAGTTCCACTTTCGGTCTGGCCATTGTGTGTCACGGTAAGAACAAGCAAATACCGTCACAGGCCTCAGTACTTGCAAATCCCCTCGGTTTGCTACCTTTTAAAATTTTATCTTCTATTTTTAAAGAATTATGGCCAAAGAACAAAGTGGAGGGCAGTGGTATGAACCTGAAGCATTAATCACGTCACTGTTCTCAGCCTCAGTTTCTCCATCTGGAAATCAGAGGGTTGCATTAATTGCTTATGAAGGCCCTTCCTAGCTTGACCTTCTAAAAGACTGTAAAGTTCCAGCACTTTGAATAACCTGTGGCCTCCTAACTGGGGGGAGCGCCTATTCAGGGAGAGATGAGTGCTCTTGGCTCCTAGTGGAAAAGCCAGAAATTATTTTAAAAAGATTTTATTTATTTGAGAGAGAGAGAGTGAGAGGGGGAAATGGGGGTGGTGATGGAGAGGGGAAGGGAGACAGACAAGCAGACTTTGTGCTGAGTGCAGAGCTCAACAGGGACTCCATCCCAGGACCCCTGTGATCATGGCCAGAGCTGAAACCAAGAGTTGGATGCTTCACCAACTAAGCCACCCAGGTGCCCCCCAAAACCAGAAATTTAATAAAATACTTGAAGCCTAAGATTATTGAACCTCACACACATTTTTTTTTTTTAATGCTAGATTGAAGAACTTGAAGGAGTGAAGATTCTTAGATTTTCTAGTCCTATTTTTTATGGCAACGTTGATGGTTTTAAAAAATGTATCAAGTCCACAGTGAGTATTTTATCCCTAGAAATTTGGTTTCTAACCTCCTTTGAGACTTCATTCGTTCTACAGGTGTTTATCGGCTCAAACTGAGCTAAGGCCCTACACCCCAGTCCATTTGTATGGTGCATTAAGAATTATAACATCCAAGTAATTTACAATCTATTTGGGGATAGGAAAAGACCGACAATGTCATATATGTTAAAATCCAGGTGGCAATCGCTATGGAAGTCAAAAATAGTAGAGATGTCTCCAGGCCCAATTTGAGTTCCACATAAATAATAGAGCCAGTAAATGCAAAGACTTCCCAGAAGGGAGCCATCCCTGGGCGTTGGACTGACCTGGCTAGGTGTGGCAGTTGGGCAGAGGCACGATTATGTTGGGTGTTTGGGAACTGTGTGAACTGAGAGTCAAGGGTAGATACATGTCTTTGGGCAGACTGGGTGTTTGCCCAGTTGGAGTAAAGGGTAGAAAGTGTAAGTGGAACATGTAAGCAAGACATTGTGGTCTTGAATGCCATCCCCAGCTCTGATGCTAAGTCTCTACATCGGTGTTTTCTTAAGTGAGTTCCAGAGAAAACTGGTTCATAGGAATGGTCATATGTTATTTTATGTTAACAAAAGGGCTCTGTGATGTCAAAGGAATTTGTTAACATAGACTTAAAGCCAGAGAGTTCTTTATTTGCTGTTTTTTGTTTGTGTTGTTTTGTTTTTGTTTTTTATTGGCTTTGAGCTTTTCCTATGAGACTATGTTTCCTGAGTCTCTGGGTGGGTGGGGTAGGGCTCATAGGGGAGATCTCCCCTAAACCTTAGAATTTCTTTTTTGACAGGATGTCTCAGGAAATAATACCACTTGAGAAATAAGCTTTCCAGATAACAATTGCCATTAATGAGCATTAGGAACTGGACATTGTAAGTAATTTGGTATTTCTTTCCAAAGGTTGGATTTGATGCCATTAGAGTGTATAATAAGAGGCTGAAAGCACTGAGGAAAATACAGAAACTCATCAAAAAAGGACAGTTAAGAGCAACAAAGGTGAGGTGACATCTTTCTTTTTCCCTGTTAAATTCTTTCCCTTCTCGGAGGAAAATTAAAGCAGTTAAATAGTAAAAAATTAGATTTATTCCCTTTGGTATCCTGATGTGTACAAGCAGATGACAATGTATGTTGAACAACAGTGGAGTTGCTCTTGTAGGCAAGAGGGAATGACAGATAATTAAAAAATCAGCAGAACTCCCTGGAAACACAGGGTGTGATTTTTTTTTTTTCAATTGAGAACTAAACATTATTTTTACGAAAGGGAACAAAATAAGTGCTAATTTGATGCCAAAAAATTACTCACAATCGAAGGCAGTTAAGTTCATAAACTTTTAGATCTATTACCTTTTATTCAGACTCTCCTGCCTATGTATCTCTTGGCCAAGTTCCACAATCTTCCAGAAATCAAGAGTTTCCTGGCTCCTCTGCTCTTCCATTTTTCTTCCTAGGGAACATCACAGTTTGGACTGAGGTAAATCTCATTCCTTAAGAGTTCATCCCTTTAATGTCTTGCTTGCCAAGGAACAGTGTATAGGACTTTGAAGTGATTTGAGATGAATCATTAAAAAGATGTCCCTCAGTCATTGGCGATCAAGTTGGCAGTGTTTTCTTTGTTTAGAATGGCATTATAAGGGATGCTGGTTCATCCAACGATGCCTTTGAACCTGATGAAGATACTGAAGATCCAGAAGACCCTGATGTCCCAACCAAGGAAATAGAGATTCGAGTGGATTGGAACTCCGAGCTTCCAGTCAAAATGAATGTCCCCAAAGTGCCGATCCATAGCCTCGTGCTTGATTGCGGAGCTGTGTCTTTCCTGGATGTCGTTGGAGTGAGATCACTGCGAATGGTATGGTTTTGGTGCTTTGGATTATAGATTTGGAGCTTTGGCAGTAAACACGTGATATGGGTCGCCTGGTCTTGCAAAGGGACGATTGTTGGGTCTGTACTTTTTCTAGAGGAATGCTTTTGCAATAGAGTGTAATACTTTAAAGCATGGACTGTGAGGCCAGACAGGGCTTTGAATCCTGGCTCTACAACTTACTGGCAGTGTTACCATGGATAAGTTACGTCATCTGCCTGTACCTCGATTTCTTCATCTGCAATGTGGGAGTAATGATGGTACCTACTTCACAGGGTTTGTTATGAGGATTAAATAGACTTAAATATATAAAATAGCTTACTTTATTAGCTCCCTATATAACATATGTTATATAGGTTTTATGTATATATAAAGAGAATGTTCAGAAGAGTTAGCAAATATTAACATTAGGTTTTATTTTTCTAAGAGTATATAGAAAATGGAATATTAGAAGAAGGAAAAATGGACAATGGTTTGTATCAAGTGTTATGTTTTTATTTGTAACATAACAGGAACAGGATAAAGACCATCGGGGAACATGGTAGGCCTGGAAAAGCCAGGCATTAGCAGGTCAGGTATCTAGGAAATCAAAGCAAAAGCTGAGGAGCATGCAGACAGAAACATTCATGAGATCAAAACCAGTTATGCAGGCTCAAGTTCATTAATTCTCTCAGCAAATAATTGTGAAGTGCCTAATATATGCTAAGCACTCATCAGGCAAACAAGAGACATGATAAAGCCACCATAGTCCCTGCCCTGAGGCGACTAAGTAGTCTAGAGGGGAAGGCAAACTTTAAGCAACCTTTTAGAACCAACTGCATGAAGTGCTCCCAAACCGACTAAGCAGGGTGTCAACTTGACTAGAAGTGTCAAATTTAGGTGAAGCTTCAGGTAGGTATTAAGAGGGTCAGGGAGAAAAGCAGGTTCAAGGCACTGGCAATTAGCTGTAATAAATGGAAATGACCCCAATAAGTGAAGGGGATTAAGAGTACACTTACCATGATGAGCGCTGCGTAATAATATATGGAACTGCTGAATCACTCTATTGTCCGTCTGAAGCTAATATAACACTGCATGTTAACTGCACTGGAATTAAAATTTTTAAAAAAATTTAAGTCTATTAAAAAGGTATGGCAACGTCTCCTAACTGGGGTTTAGCTTACTTGGGCTTCCTGGCTGCCTCTGCAAGGGCAGGCAATGATTTCAGAGCCGGAGTACTAGGCAGGTAAAGTAGAAAAGTGATGATACTTGACAAAAGAGTTCAAGAATATGCTGGCAGGTTCTATCCCAGTTCTTTTAGAAAACCTGGCTATTATGAAACTCATCTGACAACAGAAATGAAAACATAAATCTTGTTCTTTGTTGCGTATTTCACTCTAGTCTGAGGCTCAGATCCACTGTAGATTGTATTTGGTTCAAGGGTTTAATGAATTACTTTTGGGGAGAGTTGTAACTTATTTAATGCCAGAATGTTTCCCACACCTAACAGTTCTTTCAAATGCCATAAGGGCAATGATTCCTCCAAACATTATACTTGTGTAGAGGTCTTGATTTTTTTTTCCCCTAGAAATGTCAAGTTCTAGTTTATTTTTTTTTAATTTTATTTATTTATTCATGAGAGACACAGAGAGAGAGGCAGAGACACAGGCAGAAGGAGAAGCAGGCTCCATGCAGGGAGCCCGACATGGGACTCGATCCCAGGACCCCGGGATCATGCCCTGGGCCGAAGGCAGATGTTCAACTACTGAACCACCCAGGCATCCCTCAAGTTCTAGTTTATTATTGCCCATAGTTCTTGTGTCTTATTTTTTTTTTTGTTTTTAATTTTTACATTTTTATTGAAGTATAATTAACATAGTGTTATATTAATTTCAGATAAACAATATAATTCAACAATTCTATACATCATTACTCAGTGCTCATGATGATAAGGGTACTACTCTTTTTTTTTTTTTTTTAAGGGTACTACTCTTAATTCTCTTCACCTATTTCCCCCATCCCTCCTCACCTCCCTCAGGTAACCATCATTTTGTTCTTTGTAAGACTCAGGTTAAAAAAAAAAAAAAGACCTTGGGGTTTTTTGTCTCTTTTTCACTTGTTTTATTTCTTAAATTCCCATGAGTTAAATGATATGGTATTTGTCTTTCTCTGGCTGACTAGTTTTACTTAGCATTTTGAGTAATGTTGAGCATCTTTTCATGTGTCTGTTGGTCTATCATGTTATTGCAAATGGCAAGATGTCCTCTTTTTTATGACTGAGTAATATTCCTCTGTGTGTGTGTGTGTGTGTGTGTGTGTGTGTGTGTGTACACCACTTCCTTATGCATTCATCTATTGACACACACTTGGGTTGCTTCCGTATTTTGGCTATTGTAAATAATGCTACAATAAACAAAAGGCTGCATGTATCTTTTTAAATTAGTGCTTTCATTTTCTTTGGATGAATAAATATCCAGTAGTGGGATTACTGGATCATATGTTATTTCTGTTTTTAATTTTTTTAGGAACCTCCATTCTTTTTCCACATGGCTCTTCATTTACATTCCCATCAACAGTACACAAGAGTTCCCTTTTCTTCACGTTCTTGCCAATGCTTGTTATTTCTTGTCTTTTTGATACTAGCCAATCTGACAGGTGAAAGGTGATATCTTGTGGTTTTGATTTGCATTTTCCCAGATGATGCTGAGCATCTTTTCATCTGTCTGTTGCCCATTTATAGGTCTTCTTTGGAAAGATGTCTATTCAGGTCCTCTGCCCATATTAAATCAGATTATTGGGGGTTTTGTGGTGCTGAGTTATATAAACTCTATATATTTTGGATATTAACCCCTTAGTGGATATATCATTTGTGAATATCTTCTCCCATTCAGTAGGTTGCTGGGCTTCGTTTTTTTTTTTTTAAAGGCTTTTTGTTTTGTTGATGGTTTCCTTTGATGTGCAAAAGCCTTTTATTTTAATGTAGTCTCAATAGTTATATTTTGCTTTTGTTTCCATTGACTGAGGAGACATTTTTAGAAAAATATTTCTGTGGCTGATGTCAAAGAAATTACTGCCTATGTTTTCTCCTAGGATTTTTATGGTTTCAGGTCTCATACTTAGGTCTTATTTTTGTGTATGGTGTAAAAAGTGGTCTAGTTGCATTCTTTTGCATGTGGCTGTTCGGTTTTCCCAGCGTAATTTGTTGAAGGGACTGTCTTTTCCCCCATTGTATATTCTTGCCTCTTTTGTCATAGGTTAATTGACCATATAAGTGTGGGTTTATTTCTGGGCTATCTATCCTGTTCCATTGACCTATATGTCTATTTTTGTGCCAGTACCACACTGTTTTGATTACTAGAGCTTTGTAGTATATCTTGAAATCTGGGATTTGTGATACCTCCAGCTTTGTTTGCTCTTATTTCTCAAGATTGCTCTAGAATTTTTTTTAGCTAAATTTTAAATTTTGAGATAATTATAGATTCACATGGAGTTGTAAGAAATAATTCAGAGAGATCTTATATACCCCTTATCCAGTTTCTCCCCATGGTAACAACTTGTAATACTATAGTACAGAAATCACAATCAGGATATTCACAATGATACAGTCAAAATACAGTGGACTTTTTAGGTCAGTTTTTACATTTGGCATCCAGCGGCCGCATATCCATACTTCCATATCTTCCACTCAAAGATACAAATGTATACTCTTGTCTCCAATCAGTAGGGGCTATGTTAAGAAGCCTCCTGTACTCCTTTTTCCAAAAATATTTTTTAAGCAGCTCTGTACTGTCAAGCACTGTGCTATTATTGTGCCCTAGATGTTGCCACCTCTGGAAATAAGGTCTTTTCATCCCTAATCATACCACCATTGTAGGTTGAACACCTCTATGGTTTTCCAATAATGAACTTTTCTCCAATAATCAACTCTCCTCAAAAACCTGAATAAGCGTGAAAATGTTAGTTTCTCCTGAGCAACTAACTGAATGCTACTGAATTATGGGCAGATAAAGTCACTCATTGTTACAAATTCTTTTTTAAATTTTTAGATTGTCAAAGAATTTCAAAGAATTGATGTAAATGTGTACTTTGCATCACTTCAAGGTAAGTGCATATATAAATCTATCTACCCCTAAGACTTTCTCCCATGCTCTTCCTTCTACCTTGGAATATGGGTACATGATGTTCAAAGAGCCTTTTTTAAAGCTATGTTTTATTGTGGCAAAAGATGTAAAATAGAAAAGTTGCCATTTTAGTCATGCTGATGTGTACAGTTAAGTCAGTGGCATTTAGTACAGTCACAGTGGTGTGCAACCATTTCAACCATCAGTTTCCAAAATTTTTCAGTGTCACAAATAGAAACTACCCATCCTGTGGACCTTTTTGAATCTGGAAAGATTATTACTTCCAATTTGTTTAGTAGAGCTGGTAAGCCATAGAAATGTATGTCCTGACGACAGTGCAGAGTCAATGGGGACAATTTACCATGGGGATGACTTAGATCTCTTAGAAGTAGAGGATCCTCCAGGGTCTGAGTCTGTGTCTGTTTATGCACAAGTGTATTATGTAAGAAAATTCTAGTCCTTAGGCTGAGTTGTCTAAAAGCAGGCCCTGAAATAAGGATTCTTGCACAAGTGATTTGTTGATATTAGACATGAGAAATTCATGAGGGGCTGATGGAAGCCGGAGAGGGCAGGGGAAGAGGCTGGGAGAAGACCTAGGTTTAGAAGTCTACCTTAGCCTGATTCCATGGGGGGCATACAGCAGGAAGAGCATCACGTGTTTCTCCTTCCTGAGGCCAGCCTTTTTACCCCCATATCAGTCAGTGAAGGGCTGTAGGCCACCCAAGGTTAGGGTATAAACTGGTGGCCAAGGAAAATTCCTCAGAGAAGGGCACAGCTGTGGGCCATTAGCTGCCAGGCTCCTTGCAGCGTGAGGGTGAATACACTGGCAAAAACAATGTGGTCAGGAGCCAAGACTGTCTACTACAACCAGTTATGGTATGACCATCCATGTGCTTCTAGAAAAGAAACTCGGTTTAGAGCAGGATCACATTTTGAAAATTGAGGAGCTGACAAAATTTAATATCAGCTGATGTCACAAAAATGTGTTTTCCTAGAGACTAAACATTATTTCTTTCTTTTGAAGATCATGTGATAGAAAAACTGGAGAAATGTGGTTTCTTTAATGATAACATTAGAAAGGACATATTCTTTTTGACCGTCCATGATGCTGTCCTCCATCTACAGAACCAGGTTAAATCTCGAGAAGTTCAAGATTCCATTTTAGAAACGGTAAACCTTTAACCTTTCTACATAGGTTATTTTTCCTGAACTACCATGATTTCTGTGAAGAGCAAAAATTCCACAAATCTAGGTTTGAATATCAGCCCAGTAAGATTTGGGGCCACCTGCTTAACTTCTCAGAGCCTCTCTTTTCTCATCATTAAAATGGAAATAAAAACATTTACCTCACTGGATTGATATGACGACTAAATGTGATAATTTATGGGAAAGCACCTGTTAGTACATACATATCAATTTTATGATGTGTGGGTTTACTGATAAAAAATGGCATTAGACGTAATAATGCCTTTTTAGAATATAGGTGGTGAGTCTTGGATTTTCTGTGATTTGGGTATACAAATGCACAATTGTGTATATAATTTAAATTTTCAGCCATCTGGAAAATCCTGATGATAAATGTCTTTAAATAGGATCCATTAGGTCACAAGTGATCTTTGAAAAAGGAAAAAAAGAAAAATCACAAGTCAGCCTAGAGTTAATTATTTCCTACAAAATAGAATAGACTGTGGTTTCCCATGAGCCTCCCTAGTTTGTCAACTCTCCTGACACATCCCCTGGAATGCTGAGCATTCCAGAGTGGGTCATTGGGCTGGTCATTGGGCTGGGTTATTGGGCCTGGTCCAAGAACCTATTCTCTCATGGACCCTCAGTGAATTTGGGCAAATAAAACAAATACTTATAAAATAACAACAGTAGTAATTATTCCAGTGACATGGGTGTGCTATATTTTTAATTGCTTCCTTTTTAAAAATTAGGATAAGTAGATTTTTATTGTAGATTGGAAGTTGATATCTGAAGTAAAATTAATTTAGAAAACAATAGTGCATTATTGTTTTCAGATCTTGTTAGTGGAGAGACCACTTAATGCTGCTGGGGAAAATATTAGCACTAAATACCAAGGTGTGGATCTTAAATACATAAAAGAAAAAAAGCAGTAAAACATAAATCAAAAAAAAGGAGAAATCAACAAGCTACATGCAAGGTGCTGATCTCTGAAAGTTCATAAACCTTTTTCTATTTTCTGTCTAACTTAAAATTCTCTAACCCATAGGTTAACAGCAATAAAGCAGGATCATACAAAGCATCTAAAAAAACCCTCACATTAAAAGTATTTAGAACTGAGGTGTCAAATTCTTTCTCAACATGGAAATGGTTATTTTGTTATTTGTTTATACTCTATTTCTGATTCAAGCTCTCAGGCCACAAATGCCACAGAAACCACCAAGAGTGCCCCTTCCAGCGTTAGACTCAATCTTGTCTGCCATCAGGGAAGCATTGTGACTGGCTGGGATGGAATTTTTTTTTTTTTTTTTTTTTTACCCTGAACAAATATTAGACTGAGTTTAACTGAGTACTTCTATATCATACACTTCTTGGTTCACTGGGTAGATGATTGAGCACTACTGGCCTCCCTCATACCAGGAACCTTATACTTTTATGTGCCCTGTCTAGCACAAAGCGTCATACATGGTAGATGTATAGAAAATGGTGATAAATCATGCGTGGTACTTTCCTTTCCTCCAGGAAACATAACTTGTGGTGTTTGGATATGCGGATGCAGTGATATGACCCTCTCCCTGTCCCTTTATTTGAACATCACAAGAATTATTCTAGGATAGCCTCGACTTGTGGTTAGACCTATCCCCTAACTTTTATGTTATGACCATCTGCACAGGGACTTAATCTCTGATGCATTTCCACAGGAGCAAAGAGAACTGGGTTATCTATTTCTGAGATGAAAAGTAGCTCAAAAGCACTTCAAAACATCACTCTTGCCTTGATACACATCTGGAGTTACTTCAGGGGGCACCTGGGTGGCTCAGTAGTTGAACGTCTGCCTTTGGCCCAGGTCGTGATCCTGGGGTTCTAGGATAGAGTCCTGCATCAGGTTCCCTGCATGGAGCCTGCTTCTCCCCCTGCCTATGTCTCTGCTTCTCTCTCTCTCTGTCTCTCATGAATAAATTTTAAAAAATCAAAAAAAAAAAAAGGAAGTATCCTTCATATTTAAAACAAAGCCCAAATTGTTATTGGTTTCCTTTGTGTGGAAGCGTAAATTGCATACTACTGCTAAAAAGCAGAACTTTTCTGAACCAATGTGGTTCATACACTCTGGCTTCCAATTCCAATAAAATTAATTTCCATCCAATTCAACTGAGGACTGCTTATTGTCATCAGTCACAAGCCCTTGACTGCACACTCAATGGTGTACTAAGTGCTCTCAGCTCAGCCACTGAAGGGAAAAAACACAATTGACTGCTGAGTCACTTAAGCAGACAGGGTGATCCATTAAGAGGTACGCACTTCAGCGGTTGGGGAAGAGAGCTGAAAAGGAGGGGAGACAATGGAGAGCCATGGCAGGTCATACTTGAATGTGAAAAATTGGTATGAGGAAACATTCTAAGGTGCAAAATGTAAAAGAACAAGAAAGCTAAATAGGATTTTGTTGTATGGAGATTACAGCAAAGCTTCAAATAATTTTCAGAGGAGTATCAGGGTGGGGCTGATGTCATTATCTTTCCAATAAATATTCTCTGTTCTCTTGGTCAAGATTACTCTCATCCAAGACTGTAAGGACCCTCTTGAATTAATGGAAGCAGAACTGATTGAAGAAGAACTGGATGTCCAGGATGAGGTATGATCATTATTTCCTTTCAAAGAAAATAATTTGTATTGAACCTTAGACGAATAGAATAATACAAATAGTGATGATGTCTGACTAAACCATTCAGGGAAAATGATTTTTAAGAAATACCAAAAGGATGGCTTCATAGAAAAGGGAAAATGGAAAACAAAAATTGTCCCTTGAAGACATTAGGTACTTAGGGACCTTTTGCCCCAGACATATAGGCATGATCAGTGACTGGGAGCTGCCAACATAGTGGCACTGACTTTTTACCTAAGCCTCTCCATGTGTCCCCTTCCTTCCCCACCTAAGGGCAGTGGGATTAGGAGTAAGGTAGACAGAGAGGATTTCTAACCTGGGAGTTTCATAAGCTTCAGAAGAAGAATGTGAGGGACAGGAACCTCACGGAACTTTCATCTGACTGATGATAGCACACAAGACACTCCTTCCATTTGAGGCTGATCCCATGTATTGCCAATGCTCTTGGGACATCAGACTCTTCCTAGGAACCTTGACCTAAATGTATTATCTGACTGAACTTTTCGGCTCCACCACTGAGTAAGAGTAAAATGGGACCAACAAAGGAAGATCACAGGAATTTTAAAGTTGAAAGATGTCTTGGGATATCAAGACATCTGCATCCTAGCCCAGCAGAAATCTCTCCTACTCCGTCCCTAAGGATGTTCACTTAGCTTTTGTGTGAACATCTCAAGATAAGGGCAAGTGGTAGCTTTTCAAGGGCCTTTGTCACGAGGTTGGATGTCTCCAAGTGTTAGTTCTGCTTCCAATACTAGATGCAGCCTTTCTTTAATAAGTACCCAGTGGACTGAGATCTGCCCTCTTTAGCAACACAAACCCTCTTCCTGAACAGCCCTTACATATTTGAGAGTAGCTCTCATGTGTCCACCAGACTCTACTCCAGGCTAGATTCCTCTAGTTCCCTTTATTCCTCATGGGCACAAAATTTGTCACTGTCCACTCCCAAGTGGAGTCAGGTCAGCATGAAGATTATGCAACCACAACCTACCTTGATCTTGCCAAGATATGTTTATTACTGCAACTTCAAAATGTGTTTATTTTCATTGCAACCACATTGGAATCTTGGCTTCTATTGAGCAGGGGCCAGCTAAACACTTGGGCATTTTACACGAATGATGGTCTAGCTAGGCTTCCCGTTCATATTTGTGTAATTGGTTTTTGACCCCAATGCAGAATTATGCATATTTTTGCTAGATTATATCTTGTTGATTTTATTTTGAAATACTTTCAAATTCTGAATGCGTCACCCAACATATTAACTAACCATCCTGCTGATGCCATATGTAAATCTGACTAGCATGCCTTATTCCAGATCTTGATAACGTTGAGAAGAGCAACCTTCAGGCAGTAAGGCTGACAGGCAGAGATTTTTGTGGAGAAAGTACATTGCTAGGGTGAAAGTCAGAGGTCCTGCATCCTTAGCCTACCAGCTTAGTGAGTCTGGGAATGTCATTCTTGAGCTTAGAAGTACTTCCAGCTTTACTGGTTTACGAGTATGGTTATAAGACTGACTTAGTTGAGTAAAAACTCATCAAACTGGAACTTAAGAAGTTGGCACATTACAGAAGTATTTTTTGATTGCCTCATAAACTAACAGTATCATTATTCAGGTAATGGATAAGAGGATCATTCAGGTGGGGTTCCGGGTTCCGGGAGACGGCAAAGGGGTAGAGTGGAGTGGTTTTGAGGGTATGAGCTTTAGAACCATTCAGATTTGTATGCCAGCCTCACATCTACTACTTCCTGGCTGTGTAGCCCAGGGAAATTTACTCACCAGGTCTTCATTTCATTTTCTTCATGTGAAATGGAAATAGTAATACTTTATAGAGCTGTATATATTAAAGGATACATGTAAAAGAATTATAGTCTCTTGTACATAGTAAGTACTTGATAAATAGTACTCGCTGCTTTTAAATAAATCCAAGAATGATGAGGTACAAATTTAAGTTTTTACCATACACATGAGTAAATGTGAGTAACCCTAACGGTCAAGTCATATTTGTAAAAAACAAGATCATGTGGACTAAAGGACAATTTATTTGTATGAACACTTTGTTTCCCTTTTGTTTCCCCAGGCTATGCGTAGTCTTGCTTCCTGAAAGTGGGCTCACGAGGTTACTCTAAGCAAGGACTGAAAGGCAAGATTTACCCACCGGTAGACTTCTATGCAAACATTTTCTGCATTGACTATTTCTTTGGACTTGAAACACTCATTCTCTTTCCATTTGATTTTTTAAAATCTCTGATTTTTTTTAACCTCTTAGCCAATGAAAGAGAACCAGTAAGATTTTTTTTAAGGCTTTATTTATAAAATAAATAGCTTACCTCTAAAATGTGCAAAATGGTGAGGAGAATTATCCAGGTGATTTAGCAACGTCCAGGATCTGCTGATGTTAAGCTGCTGTTCCTCCACAACAGGTTTGTTAACAGTGTTCTCGTGGGTACTGCTGTACCTCTGTTTAGTTGGGTAAATGTGCCCCAAACAGTGTCTGTGGGCAGGTGGACCAGGAAGGACTATCATAAAGAAAAATCCATTTCTAACTGACTTTCATCGCCATCAGCTGCACTGGCCACGGTGTAGGGTCACACTGAATAAATGCAGAAATTTAATTATTAATGCATTTATCCATAAAAGTCTTATCACGTTTAGTAAATACATCAATGAAGTTTTTAAAATACAAACTTAGTAGTTAATAATCAATGTTATTATATGTGACCAGATATGTAGCCATAGTAAAAAAAAAGGGGGGGGGGCTCACTTAAAAACTATAGAACCAGACTGATCTATTTTAGAAACACTGATTCAGAGAAGTGAAGCAATAAGATTATTGTCGTGTGCAGAAATCCTTTTTTGATGATGATTGTCATGGATCACAATTAAGATCAAATAAAATATATGACAGACTCTAGATTAAAGATGCAGCTTTTATTTATCTTAGTTTATAGAAATGATCATCATATACAGGTCTATAGACGTATGGTCTATTTAAAATCTAATGCAAAAATTGTGTTATTTTGAACAAAAAACCAATTTTGATATAAGACTTAGTCTATATTTTTCTCTAAAACTTTAGCAGTGTATGAAATATATGATCTTTAACAGAATTCTGACCTTTCCAAAAAAAAATCTAAAAAATGGATATCCTGTATATAAATCTATATTTAAAATGAGTTTTTTTAGACAGAGCATTCTAAATGAACTTCAAAAAAATGGGTTTGGAATATATACATTGAAAATACATAGGTTTTTAAAAATCCATATTTTAAACCAGAACCTTTTGTATTTTTTATTTTTACTTAATCTTTTTTGAGTGCCAATGATTTTCTAGGTATTATATATAAATATAGACTTTAGTCCCGAGGACTATTCCCACATAATTCACACCGGAGTGAATGAAATTGTACTTAATTTCTAGGGAAAAAAATACTCAGGTCCCCAAGTAAGACACTGTTTTGCCCGCTTGAGATTTATTTTGTACCTTTGGCACAAATGTGTGAAATTCCCAGATGTGTTTGGCTATCTAAAGGCAGTATGTCTTATCCTTGTGTTTCTTCTTAAATACAATCAGAAGTAAGTTATCTGCTTCTGAAGGATTACTATCAGTGGTCATATCAGACTGGTTAACTAAAAGTATCACCCAAGTCTTTCTGGATATTGAAATTTGAGTGAGCTGCAATGGACTGCAATGTTACAATATTCTTTCATTTATGGGTTGTACTGTCCTTCCTTCGCTGATATAGAACAGATGTGACCCCTGTTGGGAACAGCCTAACCAGGATTATAATATCCCATTTCCACATCAATACCTGCCTCTAATAGCAACAAATCTTCTAAGGGTGAACATAACAGTCTTGCAGAAAATGGATGAATACCTCTGTTTAATAGAGGAAATATGCACTGACATTTTAAAGGAAATACCAAAGTTCCATCTTACAATAAGGCTAGAGTTTTGTAAAATCTTGGGTCCACTTGTGACTATTATAAGACCAGAGTCTATCTGACTTGATCCCAAGCTCACTCTAGGAATACGGTCTTCTCTGTGCATTTTGTGAATAGTAACCATACTTTTAAATCTGTATTGTCAATGAAAATTTTACTTGAAATTGAAGTGAGGTTGTCTTTTGTTATGTTTTTAACCTATAGGATAAGATTCAGTGTTGTATATGAATTTCAGTAACAATAAAGTCAAATCATGTACATTGGAAATATTTGCACATATTTTTATTAAATGTAAAGTTGCCTTTCATACTACTTGGATGTGTCCTTCCTGAACAAAATTATTAAATGTACTAAAAATGCTACATTTTAAGTTTGCCACCATTACTCTCAACAGCCATGATTTTGATGTATTCTTTATAGCTCCACTTCTATTTGTTTGTACGCAAATGTCTTTTTGTAAAGACTTTTCATGCAATAAACGTTGCAAAAGAGCTCAGTTAATTCTTATAATTCTTACCCAAGTATTTCCAGTTTGTCTTGTGCAATTATTTTCATTATTTTAAGCAAACTTTTCACACTGTTACAACGCATGTATCAAAAGGATACAAAGTATAGTGTACAAAGTATAGGAATTTTCACAAAACAAGGACACTAGTAGAGCCAGCACCCAGGTCAATACGCAGAATATATGCAGCAGCCCAGAAGCCCTCTCAAGCTCCCTCCCAGTAACTGCCCAAAGGGCTAACTACAAACACCTGAATGATGTCTAAATGTGGTGCCGTCTGAACAGATGGGGCAGGGGGAGAGGGACAGGGAGAGAGAATCCTTAAGCAGACTCCTGCTCAATCTCAGGACCCTGAGATCATGACCTGAGCTGAAAATCAAGAGGATGCTTAAGCAACTGAGCCATTGCAATGTCCCTCCATTTGAGCCATTCTTCTAGGTGTGTAGTAGTATCCTACTATGGTTTTAATTTGCCTTTTGCTAAGGACTAAAGAAGTTGAGTGCCTTCTCAGATGTTTATTATTATTTAAATATCCCTTTTTGTGAATCATCTGCCCAAACCATTCACCAGTTTGTTTTTTTCAGTCATCTGCCTTTTTCTAATGGCCTTGTAAGATTGTATAGTGAGGATACCATATAGTCCTCACTAATATGTTATGTAAGGGCCAAGGACAGGCTGCCCCAAAATGGGCCACTTTGGCATGAAGATTATTTTTGAGGTAAAAGCAATCAAAACCCAACAGATTCTGGAAAAGCTCTTTACCTCCCCCACAACTGCTTAGAAGAATTTAGACAGAAGATGTACTCCAGGAAGAGACCTATCACCATAACTATATTTTGATATGAACTAGGTAGGATAGACAGGGAGAGGCCTAGCAAGGCCTGTTTGATCAAAGTTCTCTGTGTCCTGTAGTTTCTGAGTGGCCCTGCAAACATTTAACAAAGATTTACTCTTTTTCATCTTCCTGTGAATTGCATTCCATCCCAGTGAAGCATCAGACCCCTACCTCCTCCTTAGTGCAGAATGACATATGTACCTCTTTTTGCCGGTCTTTGGAATCTCCATGTCTGTGTGGATTCCTTGTATGTACGAAATTAAATTTAATATTCTCCTGTTAAGCTGTCTTACATCAATTTGATTCTTTGTCCAGCTAGAAGGCTCTTGAAGGGCAGAGGAAATTCGTTCTTCCCAGCAGGTAGAAATATATATTACAAATACCTTATTCTATTTGATGGGAGAAAAAGGAACAGAGGTTGGACTTTGCTGCAGTTCCTGGTCCCCATGCAGAATTCCTGAAGCATACACGCTGTAACACTCTTAGAGCTCCCTCAAGGACTCCCTTTAATGTTTTACCGCCTTAGTTTTGCTCTGGTGTTACTTTCCTCTGATAATCGTAAACATCCCTCACCCCAGGATATGTTAGCAATCATCCTGCAAACATATGACCCACTGATATATATCTGAAGGGTCTCATGACCAGTGGCTTAGTAGACGGTAGTAAATAACCTTATCTTAACAGTAGCTAGTCCCTCAAAGTCTAGAAGCCTTGTTTCCAAGTTCCCTAGAGACTTAATGCTATCCCTAACCCCCAGTAATAAAAAAGTGTATAATCAGTCATTTCTCACAATCCCAGCTCTATTCCTGGGCCATGCCCCTGTGCTATACTAAAAGCACTTTTTTGCACTGAAAATATCTCAAGATTTCTTTCTTGACCGTTTGCTTATGGTCCCACATCATATTCTGTAGATTGGCTTTTCATATTTGAAAATGCATAAAAATCATGCACTTTTAAACAAATTTAATGTAGTTCAATTTACCATTTTTTTTCTTAATGTTTAGCTTTTTTTTTTTTTTCCTTTTTGGTATATAGTTTAAGAAATCTTTGCCTAAGATAATGAAGATATTTTCCTGTTTTCTAACAAAAACTTTGTTTTACTTTTCACATTTAGATACATATTTGGAGTCGATTTTTTTTTTGGAGTTGATTTTTATATACAGTGTGAGGCAAGGAGTGAAAGTGCCACGTGCACAGTACGTGTTTAATAAATAGTTGGAAGATTGAATTAAGCTACAGTGATGCTGAACAAGGCCAATAGGCTTGGGAATGGCAATCAGATTAGTGTGCAGTTGTTTAGAGTTTCCTGGGCTTGCAGGCCTATTCCTGGGGCCTACCACAGCTCACCTGCCCTATTTGCCTGCTCACCCTACAGCTTTCCAGAAAAGGGGCTGGGGATTCACTTGGATGCATGCAGAGCTTCTGGGAGCAGAAGGCTCTCCCAGATTCTATGCTCATTTTGAATCTGCTCACAAAGGTAGCCCACTTCATTCTTTTCTTTGGGAACATCTTTGGGCCTGGTCATGGAGAGGTCATGAGATCTAGCTTAAAGGTCATCCCCAATGCACTGTTTTAGACCAAGTGCTCCAGTATTCTGAGTATCCTCTGCGCAACTGAAACAAAGCAAAGCAAAAACAAAACAACTTTTTGAAATAATTATAGATTCACAAGAATTTGCAAAGAAATGTACAGCGAGGTTCCCATGTACCTTTCACCCAGCCTCCCCCAGTGTTAACATCTTGTATAACTATAATAAGTACAATATAAAACTCTTGACAGTGGCACTGGTACAAACCAAAGAGTTTATTCACATTTCGCCAGTTACACATACACTCATTTGTGTAGCTCTATACAGTTTTATCCCATGTACAGCTTCATATAAACCGCACCACAATCAAGATGGTTAACTGTACCTTTAGCACAAGGCTCCGTC